ATAAATAAATAAATAAATAAATAAATAAATAAATAAATAAATAAATATGGAATGCAGTTGGTCTTAATAAGCTGAGGCATGAATAAGCTTCCTGTATGTAGACCTCTTTTCTTATGTATGAATATGTGAATGAAACAAGAATGCTTTTTCTTAATTCATGTTGTAGGAGAAGAGAAAGAGCTCGTTGATATCTCAATTTTAGTTTATAAAAATAAAAAAAAAATTTTTCATGACTTTAGGAACCTTTCTAAGGTGTGTCTATAAGCAATGCACTATTACTGAAAAACTGCTCTTCCTGAACTTCATTCACTAATCAATATGGAAGATATAATGAAGCAATGAATTTGATAGAAGGCAATTTTTTACATTTATAACTTTTTAAATCTGGAGGATACTGAGAAGATCATTTTAGGGTTCTTTTTAAAAAAAAATTCATGGAAGAAGTTAGCCATTTTTATTTATATATTTTTTTCATCTAAGAAAGGTCAGGATATGTATAATTTTAAGGGATGAGGGGAAGGACCCTAAACTTACCTTATTTTTCTGCATCTCTGTTTCCTATACTATGTGCAAATTATAGTGGATATAAAAAGTCTACACATCCTTATTAAAATATCAGGTTTTTGAGATGTAAAAAAAAAAAAAATTACTTCAGAATTTTATATTCCTTTAACATAACATTGAAGGTTTACAATTCAATTTCAATTTCAAAAATTGAAATCTTTTGAGAACAGTAAAAATGTATGACTCATTTGCATAAGTGTGCATACCCTTAAACTAATACTTTGTTGAAGCATCTTTTGATTTTATGACAGCATTCAGTCTTCTGGGGTAGGAATCTATCAACATGCCACATCTTGCCTTGGGAATCTTTGCCCACTCTTTCATGACATGTTACATTGCAAGAAAATCTCCTGTGCACAGCTGTCTTCAGGTCACCCCACTAATTTTCAATTGAACTAAGGTCTGAGATCCGCCTGAGCCATTCCAAAACTTCGATCTTTTTCTGGTGAAGCCATTCTTTGTTGATTTGGAGGTATGCTTTGGGCTGCTGTTGTGTTAAAAGTTTAAATTCTTCAGCATTTTAGCAGATGCCTAGATGTTTTGTGCCCAAATTGACTAATATTTGGGAACTGTTCATGACTCCTTCCAACTTCGCCTTAAAGCCCCAATTCCAATGGAGAAAAGCAGCCCCAAATTATAACATTGCCACCACCATGCTTCACTGTTGGTATGATGTACGTTTGGTGATATGGAGTGTTGATTTCTATGCCAAACATACTTTTGGAATTAGTGCCAAAAAGTTCAAACTTGGTCTCATCAGACCATAATACATTTCCCCCCAGGTTTTTGTCAGACTTACAGTAGGTTTTTGCAAAATGTAGCCAGGCTTGGATGTTTTCCTTTGTAAGAACAAACTTTCATCTTGCCACCTTACCCTACAGCGCAGACATATGAGGAACATGAGAGATTGTTGTCTCACATAATATATAACTAGTACTTGCCAGAAATTCCTGTAGTTGCTGTAATGTTGCTGTAGGCCTCTTGATATAACCCTTTGATCAGTTTTTTTCTTGTTTTTTTCATCAATTTTGGAGGGGCATCCAGTTCTTGGTAATGTCATTGTTGTGCCATATTTTCTCTACTTGTTGATGACTGTCTTCATTGTGTTCCATGATATATCAAATGTGTTGGAAAATTTGTTGTACTCTTCTCCTGACTGATACTTTCCAACAGTGAGAGCCCTTTGATGATTTGTAAACTGTTTGCACACCATGGCTTTTGCTGTAAAATGCAACTAAGAGTAAATGTCAGAAAACATCCTCCTACAGCAGCTGAACTTTTATGGGTTTGATAAGAGTCTCTTTAATTGATGGCAGATGTATACTGGCTATTTACTATCAGTTTGAGTGTGATTGGTTAATTCTGAACACAGCCATGTTCCCGATTGTAAGAGGGTATGAACACTTATGCAACCACACTATTGTATGGTTTTTATTGTTGTTTACCCCCCTAAAAGATTCCAGTTTGTTTTTCAGTTGAATTATACAGCCTATATGTTACATTAAAGGTAGAAAAATTCTGAAGTGATTTATTTTGGTCTGATTTTTTTTTACATCTCAAAACCTTGCATTTTATAGACGTTTATATCCACTGTAGTTCTCAATACAAAGATGTAAATTGTATGACAGATTGAACTGAATTTTAGGTGCTTGGTGCAATTTTTAAACTTCATTAGAATAATATAACATGATCTAGCTGCTCTTTCAACTTTTTTTTTGCATAAATACTTTTCTATAATTTGCTAGGGTTTTTTGCAACTCCAAAATAGGTGGGGGGAAAAAGCCATAGAGCCTTTATACAAATATGTGTACTGAAACAAAACCAACACAGGTCACTTCCTGTCTTTTGTTATAAAGAGAGAGAAAACAAAATATTTTGATTTTATTGATTTGTTGAGGCTATATTGAAATAAAGTAATGGATGTGCTCCAAATTATTTAGAAGTAGGGAATTAATTACATTGCATAAGACGCTGCATATGACCATCAGCAGCACATTTATAGGCAAAGAATGTTACAATTTTAAAGGTTTTAAACTTCTTCCTATTAGGGATTTTTTTTGTCTCTGAGTCATTATTGACACAACTGGGAACTACATGGACAAGACTTGCAAAGAACATTGAATAGGAACTTTTTCTAAATCCATACTGCATTACTTGGAAATCATTTCCATTTGATACAAATACAGATATGGTCTCTTTGTTACTTTGATTTATTGTTACTTTGAAGCATATCTACCTTTGTTGTAAACTTCTATATATTCAGATATAATCTAGCATTATTAAGATCTTGAGGTTTAGTAGACTACCTGGATCTGATAATATATAACCTAGAACAGCTTATTTTATCAGGACCTTAAATTCATGTTAAGACAAAAGATTCCTTATCAACCCCCCCCTCCCCAAAACCGGGATTTTAATGCTCACTTGATTAGATTTGTAGAAGGAAATTTTTATTTCCTTTACATGCATTTCTGCATTTCATAGCATTTCTACAGATAGGCGGAACAGGTATTTACTTACTGCTACCAAAATTATTGGCAACTAGGAATATTAGTAGGGTATGAAAGTTCAGAGTGGTGATTGGTCACCTGTGCTTGATTGACAGGTTACAGGGAAAAACAAAAACCCATTTGTTCTGGATTAATGGAAGTGGAAAACAGAAAATCAGGTATCAGGTAAAATTCTTTTTAAAATATTTGGAGTTCTTTAGATGAGTTGCAAGCAGTCAAATATAGTACTTGTATTAAACTGAATAAACAACTAGTTCAGCTGTGTACGTACCATCTCACTGCAGTTGGAAACATTGAGCAAAAGTAAATTATACAGAATACTATGGAGTTTTTCTTACCAGAAAGGAAAATTGCTATTAATATTTGAATTCTGGATAGAGTGTTCATTCAGGTATGCAAAAACAAAAACAGAAGTAGGCAACTGTTCTAAGCCTAAGACAACTCATCTTACTATGGCCAATTCACTCTGGAACAGCTTGTTGCAGCCAACTCACGATGAACAATTCCACGAAGGGTAACTGTTATCCACCATTGTTCCTTTGACATTATTTCCATTGACAAAAATGAAAATAATGTCAAAGAAACAAGAGTGGATAACATCGCATTGCTATCCTATCGTGAGTTGGCCATTGGCAAGTTGTCCACAGCAAATTGGCTGTGGTGAGATGACTGTGGCGACATGGCCATAGCAAATTGTCCCATTCCAAATATTATTAATCAAGGATGGATCCCCCCCTTTACAGCTTATTTTAATAATGAATTAAATAACCTGATTCTAAACATGTTTACTTTGAAATAAGTTTAGTGAGAAGTTAATTTGAGCCAGAAGTTAATTTGATGAGTCTTCTTTATAGTTAATTAATTTTCAGGTTTCTTAAACCATCAAGAACATAATCAAATATAAATGTAGTTTCCTAATTCTGGAAACTTGATTTCATTTACAAATAAAAATGTATGATATATTGATTGTTTCTATTTAATAGGATTCTTTTTAATAGGTTGTGTCACGTTTTGAAAATGGGATAAATTTCTGGTATTTAGTACTAATTTGTGTGCTGCTGTATTTCAGATTGAAGGACAAGGACACGGTGCTGTGTTTGATTGCAAGTGCTCTCCTGATGGCCAGCATTTTGCATGCACAGATTCCCATGGGCACCTCTTAATATTTGGATTTGGTTCCAGTAGCAAATATGATAAGGTATTGCATAAGAAACTGCTTAATTTATAATGTTTGCATAAGAGATATAAGCTAGTTTTAACCAAATTACTGTATGGATTTCCAGTATGAGTGAAAGTTACATTCAAATATTCCATTGCAAATTAAATCTTAATTTTTACTTTTATAATGAATGGCTCAGAAATATAATTTTGAAGTTTCATCTGCTAGCTCAGGATGTTGTTATATAATATTGAATAATAAATATTAGATTCAGTCTATTACAGGAATGCTTAGTCATTTCTTTTAGGGAAATTCTATATTCTTAGGCTGGATATGGGCAACTTAATGTCTTTCAAATGTTTGGGAATAAAATTCTAATTAATCTCAACCAACTTGGCTGAAGTCTAGGAATTTGGTAAACTGTAGTCCAAAAATATGGAAGTGCAGTGATTACCTACTCCAATTTCAGATTAGAACTATTCAGGTACATTTTAACCTTCTCTTTCATGATCTCAAATGAACTATGTCACCAGTGTCAAATTCACAGCGTCATGTTGCCATCATATGACGTTTTTCCCCCTTAGCGGAGTTGGGATGGGCATGGCCTACATGTGATGCATCTGGCGCAAAGGCACCAGTTTGACACCCCTGAACTATGTGAATTATTTTTTTCCAATTTCCTCTGTAAATAGTAAAGCCCTAAATTCAGGCACTTTTCACCGTACCCAAGTATTTACAATCAATCCTCTTTTCTGTTTCATTGATTGAACCACTCAAAGGCTCTTAAGTATGGAAAATATTTTTTTTTAAATTTTCTCTCTGATTGGAATGTTACACCCAAAGTTTTTTCATCTCTTGCTCTACTTTTGGTTCATATTGAATATATTTTCTGCACTTTGGTGCAAATTTTAAGAACATTCCTATTACTTGGTTCCTCATATTTCTTCCCCCTCCTTTTCTCAAAATACTTCATTATTCCTTTTTCACCTGTTTTTGCGTATTCATCTTTTGAAAAGAAAATCATTGCATGCTCTGACCTGTCCAATTGTTCCAATATGAAAAAAGCTGCTTCAGCAATTTTTTGACAAGAAAGCAGAATGTATTATAATCCCCATAAAATAGTTTTATTATTTCATGAGGTTTATATTTCTAATTTGAAACAAAAGATAGTTTTAAGTGCTTTGTAGTGAGTCATTTAATCCCCACTTTGCTGTGAACAGAGATCTTAATCTGCTTAACTGATAGGGAAGATTCTTTGGTTATATCTAAATTCAGGAAAATGATTTCTCATATTCAATGTCAGAATATTGAAAAGGCAGTTCATGCCAATTAAAAAAAATAAATTATAATAGTCACCATATGACATGAAAATGTGTTTGCTTATATCCTGTTTATTATTTTTACAAATAACTCAGGGTGGTGAACATATCCACCATACCTTTCTCCTCCTAATTTCCCTACAACAACAACCTTATGAGGCTAATTGGGTTAAGAGTCTGTCATTGGCACAAAGTCACCCAGTTGGCTTTCATGGCTAAGGCAGAACTTGAACTCACAGTCTCCTGCTCTTTAACCTAGTGCCTTAACCACTAGACCAAACTGGCTAAGATAATATATTTTTTCTTTTCTGAGATTGCTTTAAAAATTATCCTGATTCAGAGCAAAATTAGGAAGTTTTTGGATCAGGTGAGAAGTTCTGAGATAGTCTTTCTTTTACAAAGATACAGCGAGTCGTCAACTTATAACCTTAATTTGGAGCGGAATTTTGGCTGCTAAGCAAAGGGATCATAAAGTGAGATGTCCCATGACTACATTGCTTAGCAATCAAAATTCCAGCACTCCTGGCTGCTGTCGTTAAACAAAATTATAGGTCTTTTAAGTGCCAGGAGTCCCAGGTAAGGAGCACAGGGGTTTCCAGATGGTGTGTGGTCTGTTTTTTGTCAGTGCTGTCATAATTTTGAATGCTAAGCGGTAATTAGTCAAGAACTGCCTTAGTGCCTTCAAACTATAAAGGAATTATTAATGATACTTTAGGACAGTTTCACAAATTAAAAAAAATACTATCACAAAAAATCTTCTCCATGCAGAAATAAGATGATTGGAAGAATCAGGTTCCAATTGTAAATCCAAACATCCTCTGAGCTCCAGTCTGACTGATACTCTGGATTCTCAGTTTCTCCTAAAGGAGCAACAATATGTAAACTTGGAAATAAATCCCCAATTACAAAATCCTTTCAACTTAATTCCAAAAAAGACTCAAGAATTAATCAGGATCTCTCTTCTGCCCTCAGTTTATGAAGAAGAGTTGTCTGAATGAGTTATACACAGAAGATTTCAAAAATTTCAAATTGTTTTTAACATTTGTTATAAAAAGATCAAGTCCTTGTAAATGAAATGTCATTTTACCCTATCTTGGAAACTGAACTTTTATTGATTTATTTTTAATGACATAGTTACCGTATTTTTCAGTATATAAGAAGCACCCCCCCCCAAAGTATGTGAAAATGTCTGTGCGTCTTATACCGTGAATGTTGCTGAAGCCCTGCCTACCCAGCAAACAGTCTGGTCAGCTTCAGCACAGTCTGATTTAGCATGAGCAGCTAATTGTTGGTTGTGTCGGCCTCCTGGAATAACGTCGATCAACTGTTTCAGGCTGCAGGGATCGCCATTGCCTATCGCCACTTTCATGTGCCCCATTTTCAGCCTCCGGTGGCCCTTTTTCAGCCTGTTCCAATCCCCACTGCGTGGAATGGGCTGAAAATGGTGTGCATGGAGGACAAAAGTTGGATGCGGAGGCTGAAAATGGGGCACACAGGCAATAGGTGATAGTGATCCCTACAGCCTGAACCAGCTGATTGTCGGTATTCCAGGAGGCCAATCCAACCGACAATCAGCTGCTCATGCTAAATCAGGCTGTGCTGAAGCTGACTTTGCTGTTTGCTGGGAGGCAGAGGCAGATTTTTTTTTCTTGTTTTCCTCCCCAAAAGCTAGGTGTGTTTTATAGTTAGGGGCGTCTTATAGTCTGAAAAATATGGTAATTCAAAACATCTACATCTCTAAAAATAAAAATTTAGAAACTCCATTTTGCTCAAAAAGTTTGTAACAATAGAAAACAGAGCTTGGATTTCTTTTGTTGGCCTCCCTAATTCCCTAGGATAATGAATGTATTTGTAATAGCACTAACCAAAATTTAAAAACTTCTATTTGATTATCATTATTTGAATACACCAACTCTGAATTACTAGTAGGTGTAACATTACTTGTTACTGAGATCTATTATATCACTTATATCAATTCACCATATTTTTCTTGCTAGAAATACTTTTTTAATGTAAGTTTTTAAACATATAGATATATCATTATTCCATTATAAAATAAGATGCTAAAATAGATGTGAAAAGGAGCTCACTAGTAACAAATTTTGCTACTAACCAAGTCTATATCCTTATGGAGAATTAATAAGTATTTATGTATCCCTGTTCAGAAGCATTCTCATTGTCTTTGAGGAGCATGGCTCTCAAATACATAATTTCAGCTTTAAAAGTTCTTTTTATAAAAGAACTGTGCAATTAATTTAGCTGCTATACTATATATAATTAGCAGTTTTTTGAACTAATGGCAATCCATATTTAATCATTTGTTAAATCTTTTGTTAAATTTTTGAACTAATGGCAATCCATATTTAATCATTTGTTAAATCTTAGCTAGATTTGTTTTTTTTACAAAAGAAAGTTACTTAGAAAAGGTCACTTTAGCAATATGTAGCTATTTTGATGTTGATTCACAAATATACTTTGTCTTTCAATTACATATAGTCTATACTTCTAAAAATTTATTTTTATTTACAGATAGCAGATCAGATGTTCTTTCACAGTGATTATCGGCCTCTCATTCGTGATGCCAATAATTTTGTATTGGATGAGCAGACACAACAGGCACCCCATCTCATGCCACCTCCGTTTTTGGTTGATGTTGATGGTAATCCTCATCCATCAAGATTTCAGAGATTAGTTCCAGGACGTGAAAACTGTAGAGAAGAGCAGCTTATTCCTCAGATGGGGGTAACTTCCTCAGGTATGTACAACTTCTAACTTTGTATGATATCTTACTGTTTTCCAGGATTTTTGAGAGGTTTAGCATTCTTACCAGCTTCAGTTCCAAAAGCATAAGAAACAAGGTTTCTCCTGTCTAGTTGTATCTGATTCTAGGGAGTGGTGCTCATTTCAGCTTCTTAGCCGAAGGAGCCAGAGTTGTCTAAAGATACTTATGTGGTTGTGTGGGCAGCGTGACTATGTACCAAGGTGCATGGAATGGTGTTACCTTCCCACCAAAGTGGTACCTATTTATCTACTTGCATTTGCATTCTTTTTGAACTGCTTGGTGGGCAGGATTTGAGGCAAGTAATGGGAGCTCACTCTGTCATACACATTTTCCAGCTGGCAGGCTCAGTGTCTTTAACTATTGAATCACCTTGTTCTTACTTCTGAGTTTATTCCTACATTTATTTTTCTTTTGCAAAAAAAGAAAAGAAATAAGAGGAATGGTGTCATAGGTGAAATTTGTTTGCTTGTCCCTCCAGTTAATTATCTGAAGATCAGTTAGTGATAATTTCCAATCTATTTTCCAGGCTTCTTTGCATTTCTAAATGGCTCATTGAAAAAAATGGCAAGTATTAATTTAGCAGTATTAAAGAGGAGGTTTGAGGCAATTGTGTTCATTTTCTCCAGTGTGTAAATAACAAGTACTTGATTCATTAACATTTGAAGAAATGAACATAGTAGTGGAAGAGTGAATTTGTGTCTAAAACTATTTTACACTTTTTTCACAATTTTCATTAGATCAGGACCTGCTGAATGATATAAATTAGCATATGTTTTTGGAAGATTAATTATTTTTGTTAAAATATATAAAGATAATGTGTACAATATTAATTTGCCCAATTGGTACTAATTTCTTAAAGATGGAAAAGGAATGTAATTTTATTTACAGGCTTACGTCCCATTTAGTAAGACAAGGTTTCATAGAACTTTGGTTTCAGACAAGGCCAACAGTATGTTTGAATGTAAGATATAAAGGATTAGAAATTACACATAATTTATTCATTTGTGATAATTCACAGGTTGAAGATCTGAACTGTTACACATTATACTCCAAATTATATCAGAAACTCAGATCTAGTTTATTGTGTCTTTGTGAACTCAACTGAATGAGTCCAACATAGGAGAAAAAAAAGTCTATTTCCTGCTGATTGATATAGATGAGCATGTAGCAAAACAAGTTGCATTGTTTATATGATCTTAAGATACAAACTCAGATGTTGAAGCAGTGCTGTTAATTTTAGGGGGCATGAATGGAATTGATATGGATTGTGTAATTTTAAGTGAATTATAATAAAAAACATTCGTTCCAAACACATATCTTAAACAGTTGAACTCTCACAGACTTTATGAACTCTAATGGACTACATGCACTATAAATGTAAAAAATATATTTTAAATAATCCAAATTCTACTTTTAATAGGATTGAATCAAGTTTTGAGTCAACAAGTTAGTCCTTTGGATAGCATGATACAGAGACTTCAACAAGAACAAGATCAGCGTCGGTCTGGAGAAGCTGGACACAGTAATACAAATAGACTTGGCAGAGGTAAAAAAAAGGTCCTCATTTCATTAACTTTAATAATTTAATATAGTATTTTTCAACTTTGGCAATTTTAACATGTATAGACTTCAATTTCCAAATTCATGCTGCCTGGGAAATTCTGAAGTCCAGATATCTTAAAGTTGCCAAGGTTGAAAAACACTAATTTAATTTGATGTGATTTTATCACAGAAATAATATTTTAGCCTAATAATAATGGCATTTAAATCATTTTGCAATAATAAAATATGTTGCGTTTATTAAGACATTTGCTCACAAAAACAATGTACTTAGTAATAGTTTTAAATTTCCTCTTGGTTATGCAATACATTGTTTTAAAATGTTCATTTCTGTTTTGTTCTCTCTATGCTCAGTAAACTCTACCTCAGAAGTGCATTCACCACCAAATGTGGGATTAAGACGCAGTGGACAAATTGAAGGAGTTCGCCAGATGCATAGCAATGCCCCAAGAAGTGAAATAGCAACTGAACGGGATCTGGTAGCATGGAGTCGAAGGGTTGTGGTACCAGAATTATCAGCAGGAGTATCCAGGTAATAGATGAATCTAATGGCATTGTATTAAGTAAGCTTCCACTATGAAGAACAGTGATGATTTCTTTATGTTGGCGCAGCACAGCTGTCCAATTTTTCAGGCAGATTTCTTTCAGATCTGCCCATAATACTGAAAACTGTGTTGTCTGATTTCTTTTTCTCTGAGCTTAAATAGAGATGTGGTGGCTCAGTGGCTAAGACACTGAGCTTGTCGATCAGTAAGGTCCGCAGTTTAGCAGTTTGAATCCCTAGCGCCGCATAATGGAGTGAGCTCCTGTTACTTGTCCCAGCTTCTGCCAACCTAGCAGTTTAAAAGCATGTAAAAATGCAAGTAGAAAAATAGGGACCACTTTGGTGGGAAGGTAACAGCATTCTGTGCGCCTTTAACATTTAGTCATGTTGGCCACATGACCACGGAGACGTCTTTGGACAGTGCTGGCTCTTCGGCTTTGTAATGGAGAAGAGCACCGCCCTCAGATCTGGAAATGACTAGCACATATGTGCGAGGGGAACCTTTACCTTAAGCATTCTATTTAACAAGCACAAAATTAATACGAGATTTCATGGTGTGCTTTATGCTTCGTTTCATAGAACAAGTTATAACAAATATATTCATTTAAGAGCAATTGCTACAAATATATTTTTCTTTTCAGTTTGGTGTGAGGATATTTCCTGGTATAACTTAATAACTTCATTTGCTCATGAAGGCAAGAATCATATGGCCCACATTTTGTTTCTACCCTTCTTCATTATTTTTCCAGAATAGATTTTGAGTATTTGAATCGTTTCTTGTAACTAGTTCTGTTCTCTTTTCCTGATTATATTTTCTATCAGCTTTTAACTTATCTTTACTCCTTTTTTTTTTTTTTAAATCTCCTTAGCTCCATCTCTTCCTTGGTTTAGAGTCTAGAGGAAACTGATCCATGCAAATCCGTATCATGTCCTCTACGCTATTGGTATTTCTAACTAAAAGTTGATAATCTTAACTAAATTTTTTTTGATAATGACAGATTTCTGAAATATTTGTTTTAAATCATATATAACCTTACCCTCAAGGTTTTGATGGCAAATGTCAGGTCCGTCTACACTAAAACTATAATCATTCATGATCTCATGAGCAAGTATAACCAAAATTTGATTGGGGAAGGGGCAATATTGGCCAGTCTGAATCTGCCCAGGATTTCTTGGCTTGATTATACATGTTTCTGGTTATTTTTATTGTTTTGTAAAAAACTCTTATTTTAATTGTTAGCCACCCAGACTCATATATATGAGATCGGCAGTTGATATGTTCATTAAATAAAGTTACACGTTAGACTTTGTTTTTGATTTGGTGCAGTTATGCAAAAAATGGGTATGATACAGAAAGTGTTTGTTTCTTGTAGTGAGGTCATTTTGGATTGACTGAAGTGCAAGATCTCTGCAGGGGAAAGGGACTAATTTAGTTGGTTCACCCCACTTGCCCGATGGATTCTAGATCAGTGGCCCCCAACCTTTTTTGAACCAGGGACCGGTTTCACGATTATTTATTCTTCCACGGACCGGTACCTGAGTAACGTGAGACTCCACCGCCATCGGGATGGCTCTTCGTTCGAAGCGCCCCCCCCTTTCGACAAAACTAAGGCGCGAGCACCCAAACGCCGCTTTCCAACTGAAAAACTGGAAGCACTTTCCAACCAAAAACCTGGAAGCGCTGTCGAAACAAGATGGTGGTGCCCAAGCTTTGCGGCCCGGTAAAAAATGATCCACGGACCAGTACCGGTCCGGGGACCGGTGATTGGGGACCCCTGATCTAGATGGATTCTGATAAGCTCTTAGGAATTTTCCCAGCAATTTAATAGGCAATTTGTTATTTGCTAGGTTAGCCACAAGAAATAACCTATTGTCTTGATGTGATTGTTCCTGAATAATTTCTTACTGTTTGCTGATGCTGGATGACTCCTTGGAACTCCAGGAGAAGAACTAAAGTGCTGGTGGAGAAATGCAAAAAGTAGATTTGAGTGAGCATGGGCGTGAGCCAAGATTAGGCTTCTGATGAGATTGTAAGAGAAGTGGTGCATTCATACTTTTACTCTTATTACATCAGCTGGCTTCTGAAGTAGTTATTTTCAGGGCTACCAGCTTCTTTTTATCAAGAAATGAGCAACTAGATTTCATGCCACTTTACACTGCATTTTTCATATTTTTGAGGTTGCTTGACTTTTCTTTCTTATGGATAAAGAGGGCTGTTTTTCCTGATGGTTGGTGCAAGAATGGCAGTACCCCTTTGAAGGAGGTGACACCATTGGACTTGAGAGTGGTACATATTTCATCAAAAGACCCTCCCTGGAGCTAGCCATATTTGACAACTTTCAGTCTCCAGTCTTCCTTATATAGGAAAAATTATTGAGATGGTGTCAGAGTAAAAGTGGTGAACTGTCTGGACTAACTTTCACTTGGGGTTCTAGACTAGGCCCAAGATGGAAACTTTACCAACTGTGGTGGTTGTATCTGAATTAATATACTGCACACTCCTTCTGGTTCTACTGAATCTGGCCTTTGATACCATTATTCATGGTTTCCTTTTGGATCACCTGCAAGAGCTGGATTTAGAGGCACTCTTCTACAATGGTTCTTCTCCTTATTTATTTGATAGTTCTAGTTGGTGGTTATAAGGGAAGAGAGGCTGAGTTATTGACTATTGGGTGCTGTAGGACTCAGTTCTTTCTCCCTTATTGTTTAATATCTACAGTCTGTTGCTGATATAATGGGATTGTTGTATAATTGTTAATTTTAATATTGGTTTTGTTAAGTTACACTATAAATGCTTCCATGTTGGTAGTTTCATTTTTAATAGGTCAGTTCTCTAGGCTAACAGGAAGGGCACTTTGAGAATAAGATTAGTTCATCTTAGGACTCCAATATTGTATTTTGTGCTACTTAGTTTTATAGGTAGAATTCACAACCACGTTACTTAGGGTTAATAGGTACAGGTTTTTATATTTAGAGGGAATTACACAAAATATGGTATTTTAAAATTGTAAAGCAACCCTTGTTGCTGTTTGGTAGATATAATTATTATGAAGCCGTGTACTCTCAAAGAGATTGGGATGCAAATGTGTGGTTTCTAATAAAAAAATTGAAATAATCCAGCTAATTCTAATACTTTGAAATTAACTTTAATGTTTGAATTTCTGTCCTGCAGTAGGCAAGAAGAATGGCGAACAGCAAAGGGAGAGGAAGAAATAAGAACATACAGAGCAGAAGAGAGAAGAAAGCACATTATAAGTCATGTTCCTAGAGAAAATAAGATACCATCTGTGCCCAAAGTAAGCAGTGTAAGCAGATAACAATGTAGAGTACAAGTAATCCTTGACTTACGACCACAATTGAGCCCAAAATTTCTGATGCTAAGCAAGACAGGTTTTAAGCGAATTTTGCCCCATTTTACTACCTTTCTTGCCACAGTTGTTAAGTGAATCACTGCAGTTGTTAAGTTAGTGAATCTGGCTTCCCCATTGACTTTGCTAGTCAGAAGGTTGCAAAAGGTCATATAACTCCAGGACACTGCAACTGTCATATAAATGAGTCAGTTGCTAAGCATATGAATTTTGATCATGTGACCATAGGGATGTTATAGTGGTTGTAAGTGTGAAAAATTGTCATAAGTTGCTTTTTTCAGTGCCGTTGTGTCTTTGAATGATCACTAAATGGATGATTGTAAATTGAGGATTACCTGTATCATAAACTTGAAAGCAAACAGCCTGGATATGCCTAGCTTTGACCTGATAGTTCTGCCCTGCAAAAATTGCCTGCTCAGTCCTCCTACCTTCCCAGCTGAGCCTAATGAGCAATCCTTAGCAATGACGCTCTGCTACCCAGCTGTGCTCACCCTGCTTCAACTCTTGCCCACTGGCTTATTCCCCCCCCCCCCCCCCCCCCTCTTGCCTCCCCTGCACCCTTCCATTGCTGCCTTCTGCTTCACTTCACTGACCTCCACTGTCTTCTTCCTCCTGCTTCCTCCTCCATGTGCATCCAGATCCCAGGAGCACAGGGCAAGTCTAGAACCTTGTCTACCAAAGGCAGTTTGCCTGACCTAGCCATGGAGGAGGCAGGAAGACAGTGCAGGTCACAGCCGAAAGGCAGAGATGGCGGGAAGATCGAGTTGGGGGAGTTGAAGCACACGCTCTGCTCAGAAATGCACGCAACAGCCATAATTGTGAGGAGCAGTCATAAGTTTCATTCATTAAGTGCCATCATAACAGTGACTGAACAAATGGTTATTAAGACAGATAGTAGGAGGGTGCTTCTTGTCTTATGTGAAAACCTTTTTCATGTGTTACTGGTTTGCATCTCTTTAGTTAACTAATGGAAGCTGGGGATTTTCAAATTGTGATCCACAGAGCTCAGATTTTATGAGAACTTGAGATTCCCTGAAAGAACAAGGACAAAAAGAAGAAAAAGTTCAGTTGAATATAGTTTTCTAGCATTATAACTTTTCTGTTTGATCAGGAGTTCCAGGAATTTTCTTTTCTCCAATGAACTGCTCCGAGCATCCAGCAGTGGGAGGTGCTTAGACTTAGATTGGATAGGCTGGGCTTGATTGATAGGACGCTCCTCTTCCTCCAGATTCTCCTCCTTAGCACCCCCAGTTTTTCTTTTCTTTTAATTAACAAGCTTTTTAGTCTAAAAAACATTGAAAGGCCCTAAATAGCTCTTTAGGATTTAAACATCTTTGCAGTCAGGAGAGAGAGAAAAAACACCCTTCAATTACCTGCAGTATCATTTTCATTTTTATTTATAGTTTAAGAAATGGACAAACTATTTGAGACAATAGAAAGTTGTAAAATGTTCTAGAATTATAGCACTAGTAGGGTGGGTTTTTTAAATTGTACAAGGAATTCATCTGATAAGTTCTATATTTTTGCAGATATTTATTGTGTTATACTTGCATTTTTTTATCTTTTGGGGGCCGTTTAGTGAATTCTAACCAGTGGCCATTCAGATTGTAATATTAATGTCAGAATGTATAAGGAAGAGCAGACTTAGTTTATCTAAAGTCTTTTTTTCCCACTGGTGAGCTGTACCTCTGTACTGTTTCACAGAGGTTTTTCATGGTCCTAATTAATGGTCATTTTGTGTGTTTCTAGAACCATTCACATGATCATGTATTGGACGTTGGTGATTCAAAAAAACAACAGGCCAACCAACATAACTATCGAACCAGATATGCCTTGGAGGAAACTGTCAGGCCAAATGAAGATAATGACAATGGAAGCAGTTCCTCAGAGGTAAAATTATATTGTGTTTCTTGTGTGATACAGTAGATTGGGGTTTCCCCAAACTGAGATGTTCCTCTCTTTGGGAGCTGCATAGAATCCAGGGAGATGTGAATATTTTTATTTCTTATATTTTTATTAAAATTAAGCTTTGTTGTATTGTTTTCCTTGCCTATTTTGGTGTTTGGATTTTTAGGAGAGATGTCTACATTAAAATTACATATCAGGGAAGTGTATTAAATTAACAAGTTTAGGAACTCCTACCCTAGACTGTTTGCATGCAAAATCATTCATAATACCTAAGGTTACTTGATTCTCCTTTCTTAAAGACAAAAATTGGTGTTTTTCCTAGTTCTATTCATATATTACACATGTTAAATGCAACTTAACTTTTTTAGGAAGAGCTATTTAGTAAATATTCAGAGACACTTTGTTTTCCGAATATCACACATGGAAAATCTGACTTCCTTTCGCAAAAACTTATTGATCAAATAATTAGCCAGTCAGTTATGGTGATTTAAACTAAAACTATTGTAACTCAAGAAGCAAATACCAATGACATAAAAGAGAATTCATCAATCACATATAATATAAAAATTCTAGTGCTATGGAACCTTCTACTCCAGGTTCAAAAACCATGTAGGAAGTGTTTTTCCTGAAATGGGCATTTGATGTGTTTCATGTTGTAACCAGACCCTTGTTTACAGTATGTTATACCCAGATTTATACCAAAGAAGGTGGCCTTTCTGATATTCTGGTTCCAAACCACTTCAGCTTTTCTGTATTATTACATTTGAAAATAAATTATATAAGCTAATTATCTGTTGTGAGTTTGTGGATAGTAATTAAAGAGCCAGTATTTAGTTAGCTCTTAGTTTGCAAGAAAATTGTTCAGTGGTTACTTTTTTAATATAAATTGACCGTGGTTTATTTTACTGGGTTTTTTTTGGTGAGCCACCCAAGGTGGCCTCAAAATTGAGTGAAATGAAGTCACTGAATAACTGGATTCAGAAGTACTTAGTCCATTTATTAAAGAAATTAGAAGTACTTCATTACTTTTAAAGGAAGTTTTGGCATGTCAGAAGAAATGTCTAAATATTATATTGTTCTTAGGAAGGAGAAATTGTTGTTGCCAGTGGTGGAACATCAGAAGATGAAAGAAAAGCATGGCATAGTGATGGAAGTTCTAGGTAAGTGACTGAATATCAGGAACTATACGCTTAAACTTAAATGTGAGATTTAAATGGTAAGATATTTGTTAATTGTTCTGATTCATAAAATATACTTTGAGTAAAAAATGTAAAACAAGGAGTTTAAGAAACCTTTATGAAAGAAAGAATCCAGTAAAAAACAAAGGACCTTATGTGAACAGGGATCTTTCAGCCACTTCTTTCCAATGGGAGATGTCTCATTCCTTTCTACCTTGAAGATAGGAGGGTCCTTTGGAATGCCTTTCTGTGAGGGAGGAAAGGGCCACCATTAAACTTCCTCCTGAATATCTATCTCTAGGACTTAGTGTTGATATATCATTACATTTTCATTCATCACATTGAAAAATACAGGTTAAGAATGTCTTAAGAATGTTTAAAACAACAATGTTTACAAACAGACTGCCCATTACTAAAAATGGTGTACAGGGTTCTTTCGTGAGTAAACTGCATGTTTTCAAAAACCACCAAAACAATGCGTTTTTAATATACAGCCTGTTTTTAATAGTTTCTTCTGTAACTGATTTTAGTGGAAACACTAGCAACTACCTATTAAATAGCAACATTTGGACTTTGCACAAAGGTTTGTGGAATTTTGCTAATGGCTCTTTTTCCTTTAATTTTTTTTTACATTTGTTTTGTCAGACAGTGGGCAAAAACGTCTTCCATATTACAGCCTGCTTTTTCACATTCATCTTTGCTTCAAAAAAACAGTTTATCATATAATTTAAACATTTCTTGTGCTGGTCCGTGACCATAATAAAGATTGAATGAAAAAATCTTTCGTTTTTGACAATGCTGACTTCAAAATTCCCTTCTTGGGAGTATAGTGGTAATAAATAATTAGAGCATCTGAGGAATTAAGAGCACCAAATTAACATTTTATTATTAGGTAATTCTTGTTTTGATGATTTTAGTTCTGGCCCACCTGGTTTTACCCTTATGGTTCTGTATAAAGTTGCAAGTAACGTTTGTTCAGTGCTTTTTATCTAAATGCATTCTAATTCCAGAAGAACTAAGACAAAAATTACTTGTTTCATCCTAGTATGCCTAGCTAGTTTTTCAGTAACATATTGAAATAGATATTTTTTCTGATGGATATTAAATTTGCATGTCAGTGCATAACTATGTACTCATTAATTATTTCACTTCTAGTGATTATTCCAGTGATTATTCAGACTGGACAGCAGATGCTGGAATTAATTTGCAACCACCAAAGAAAGTTCCTAAAATTAAGACCAAGAAAGTAGAGAGTAGCTCAGAAGATGAAGAGGGTCCTGAAAAACAGAGACAGAAACAAATCAGAAAAGAAAGGAAAAAAGGTATTGAAGATAAAGATGGACCATCATCTCCAAAGAAAAGGAAACCGAAAGAAAGGAAACAAAAGGTTGTACTATAATTATAGAATACTAATTTAAAAGGCTTTTTATCGATAATGCTTATCCCTCACTAATGTAAATGCATATGAATTATACTTTTAATTATCCAGATAGCTAATGTATTAAAATTACAAATTAAGGGGTATACATTTTGTAAGATCTTTGATTCAAACTTTGCCTATAAGGAAAGGTGTGTAGGGTTTGTCAATATGCTCTTTTATTCTGTTCATGAAACTGAAACAGCAAAGCCCTCTAAATATCTCTTCCCCTCAATATAGTTCTCTCAAGGTGAACTCTTGTTTTTTTTTTATAGAAAGAAGAAATATAGTAAATGCTTAGTTATTAGCCAATTAACATGCTGACATTTTATCAAATACCGTATTTGCCGGCGTATAAGACGACTTTTTTGCCCCGAAAAACATGCCTCCAAGTGGGGGGGTCGTCTTATACGCCGGTATATCCACTGCCGGCTTTTGGATGCTTGTTGGACGCAGCGAAGGCGCCTCTGGCTTCCTGGATCCCCTGCGTCGCTTCCGCTTCATCCCGCTCGCCTCGCTCCGCCCGAGGCTGCAGCCTTCCTGCTCTTCCCACGGCCCCTGGCACTCTGCCCTGCCGCTGCAGCCCCGGGGATTTCTGGAGGGCGTTTCTGGTGGTGGTGGGGGGTCGTCTTATACGCCGGGTCGTCTTATACGCCGGCAAATACGGTACTTACACTGTTCATATGTGATTGGCATTTATTTATTTTGCTAATAGAAAATTGATTGTGATGGTTTAATATGCATGAGTCTCATGCATACCATCTTTCCTATTCCTATATGGCTGCAATGAAAAAGTAAACATGCTTAATTTCTATTACATGATATAGCTGATAATTGTATTGGAAGAGGAAATAGAAATATGTGTATCTGAGATTTGTTCCTGTGTTGCTAAAACTGAATTCAAATGCTTTTGAAGCTTAAGCAAACCTTAAAATTACACGAGAAGTTCTAAAGTTTAATTTAGATATATATGCGTATTTCTTTAGAGGTTGGCTATGGGGGTGCTAACCGAAAATGGCTTAACATTAGAAGAGTGGCTTCCTTCAGTGTGGATTACAGATCCTGTTCCTCGACGATGCCCTTTTGTACCACAAATGGGAGATGAGGTACTTACTTTTTCTTTTATTTTTATGCATCATCTTGGCTGTACATTCATCTTTAGTATATTAAAATGTCAAGTAAGAATCACTTCCTCTCTCTCTATCAAATACTTTTTTTAAAAAAATCCTGAAATAAGGCAGAATTTGATGGTCATTTTAAAATAAAAGGTTATCAAGTTCTTTGTACAAAGGGTTGTGCTATAGTTGTATCTCCCCCTATTCTTGAAACACATGAATTAATGCCACTGTTAACATAGTAGTTGTTCACTAATTAATTTTGTACTCTCATTTGGAGAGGAAACTAGGTATTTGTTCCTTATACTTTCAACTTAATTTAGGGTTTTCTATTTTACGTCTACCCCATTTTCCTTCCTCTCTCATTTATTTTCCTCAAAAACTAACTGATTTTCCCCCTCGTTTATTTCATTCTGCATCTTTTATTTTGCCTTTTTTTTTGTCTGTTGGATGGTCCCAGATAGTATCTCTCCTGCAAGTACTGGACAGAAAAGTAGAGTAAGAATTATAGAATTATAATTTGGTTGGCATCATGAACTGTGAGCAAGGAAACCTAGGTTAAAGTCCACTTGGGCCAGTCCAAGTCTCTAAGCTTGAACTATCTCACAATATTGCTGTTGTGGGGAAAATGAAGAGAAATCTCAGAATGAACTACCTTGAGTTTCTTGTAAAAAAGTGGGCTATAAAGTAAAGAAACAATTATGAATAAGAATTGCCAAGAAGGAGGTGCAGCCTTTTGTATTCCCCCTGAGGAGACTCTGAGTTGTCTTTCTGTTGAATGTAAGAAATAGTAGGGAGCCATTGGCAATCATTACTAAATCTGTTAATTTCAGTTCAGGTGATGACCTGGGCAAGACTCAATTCACATATCCTAGGCACTTTCCACATTGATTAGGCAAGACTGTACCTTTGAAAAGTGAGTGCCTTTTTGAAAACTTGCCATAACATTAACGATGTTGAGAAATGGCAATGTTCCAGGTTTTAAACACAAATTTAATTAATTATATCAGCCACCGGAAACTTCCAATGAACATGGCCAACTGACCAACCTAGGGGAAGGTTCTTCCAGACCAAAGCTTTTTCAACTATTAACAAGGAATTGAGTTCCCTTTGTTTTTATGACATATGAAGTATATTTCATGGTGAAATATAAAGACAGAAAGTTGTGACTCTATTTTATTACTTTTAAATAATCTATAGCGTTGGATTGTTTTGTTGTGAGTGGCTTAAATTTTCCAATTTTTATGAATTCTCACTGGCCAGGATTAACTGATTTATTAAAAATCTACTCTTTGACCACAAGAGGGAGCTAAGAGGTTTAAAAGTGTTTTTAAAGAAAAGTTTAGTGTTTTAAAATGGATGTTTAAAAAGTGTTTTTCCCTTTAAGGTTATAAAGTTATAAAGGTTATAAGGTTATCTGAAGGAATAGAGTCTAATATAAATAATGGCAGGCTACAAAGATTAATAAATATAAACAGAAATATTACTTTCCACAGCATGGAAAAAAAGTAGAGACAGTTAAATTGATTGCCTCATCCAAATAATTTTGTTTCTATTTGGAAATTACTTCTGGATTTTGTGCTTGTGCTGAAAAAAAATGAGAGTTTGGTTTTGCTGATTAGATAGGTTTGTTGTTATAGAAATGGCTAGTATATATTATTGTGTATACTAAAATTTGGAAACATTTTCATTAGATATATTTGTAAATCCCATATAAATGCTCCTATATGTGAGTGATGACTTGGAGCAAAGGAAGAAGACACACTGGTTTTTTTTCATCCTTACATGTAGCTCTAATTATTGTAAAATATGACAATCAACCCTTCTGATCAGTCAGTGGTCACACATTAGGACAATTTTATTTCAGATGTTTTGTATGCTAATAAACATAATGCATTGTAAAAACCATGTAAGTACAAAATGCTCAGACAATTGAATCTTGGTTAATTTACAGTAACTGCTTTATGTTATATTATTAATGAAAATGTGCATAAATGTGCTGCTCTAAACTAAACAAAGCTTCAAATAGATTCTTTTTAACAAAAGATATTTTCATAAAATGCTACTGAGGGTTATAATATTCTAAAGGTTAATTGGCAACAGGTTACTATTTTTAATTGAAAGATTGAAAAATAACTGCTTTTGGCTAATACTTTCAGTTATAGTATTGGGTTCTTTTAGATTTACAGATATTCCATGCATTAACTGTGATATTTAATTTCTGAAGGTTTACTATTTCCGGCAAGGTCATGAAGCATATGTTCTAATGGCAAAGAAAAACAAAATATATAGCATTAATCCTAAAAAACAGCCATGGCATAAGATGGAGTTACGGGTATGTGTCCTCCTTGCTCTTTCCTTTTTACATTCTTTGTATATGTAAAGTTTAGATATTATAGGTTCTTACTTGGGAATAAATCCTACTGAAATAAGATTTAACAGATGGGTATCCTACACAGTTTCAGCCTTTAGATCTAGCTATATGTGTATTTTCACATACAGTCCACGTAATCATTTTATCATGTTTGAAAGGTCAAAACAGTAAGATAGTAGACCTATTACAAGTGTACAAGAGTTATAAGTCATCCTCATTTAATGACCACTTTCACTGGCCACTCTTGGCAACAGCACTGAACAAGTGGCAGTTATGACGACTTTGTACTTACCATCCCTGTGGTCGTGATTGCAATTTGCAACCTTCCCTGCTGGCTTCCCACAAGCAAAGTCAATGGGGAAGCAAACAGGAAGTTAGACATTGTGGTCATATGAGGTCTTCACTTAATGTCCTGCGTGATCCTCATTAAATGATGGCAACAAGCAGCCTGCCAAATTGCAGAAATAGAGGATACAGATGATTTTAGGAACATTTTTGAAAACTCTTACTTTAGGAACTGTATAGAGGCTATTTGTTTCCTATATACTTTGTCTTATGCGAATACCAATTAAAAAGTATGTGAGAAAAGATTAATTTTCTATTCGATTACACTCTCCAGGGCTGCCAGATAGACAGATAGAAAATGAATTTCAGTCACACTGCTAATATAATTTTCCATGCCTTGCTATATATTACCAAAGCATTGCAAACAGTCAGCAACATCAGTCACAGATGTATTTACAATTGGGGGCTTGGGGCGGGCAATATATTAACTGGCTGCTAAAACCCCCAAAGGCCACAATTTCTGTTTGGTGGATGTGAATATTAGCAGGAGGAGAGGGACAATTAGTGCCACTTTCCAAAAGAGAAACCTTTCCTATTTACCTGCATTTATGTGTAATAAAACTTTTAACTTCACAAAAAAGAGCTAATTTTGAGTCATGGACTAACCATTGCATAGCGAATGAATTTTTTTAATAGCTGAAAGATGAAAGGATGAAGAACTTCAGAAAAAGGCCACATAACAAGTTCAAGCATGACATTGTAGCAAAATACAACATGGACTACATCAAAATATACAAGATCATAAACAGTGCGCATACTATATAGAAATTTTGTCCAACATAGCCTCTATTCTACGTATGCAGCATCTGATGTTCACATATGTGGTCTCACACTTATCAAATAAACAAGTAGTTCTTGAGCCAGTGACATAGAATTCCATAGAATTTTAAAATTGGACAAGCTTGATCTAGCTTTTAGTTATCATCTGGCTCCTCTTTATGCATGTGGAGAACTGGATCTTGCACTGCAATCAAGCTTCTCCCTTAATATATTATAATTTGGTTCTCTTACTTGGACCATGTCTCTTGTCTATTTTCAGGCATGGCTGGTTTGAGTGTTTTTTAAAATAGAATATTAGGTTGGAGACTCCCAGTTAGTCTTAAACTGAAAAAAAGTGGGTTGAAATGGGCAAACTATTTAAAACTATAGGTAGATATGTGTGTGATTGTGCTTTGTGATTATTTGTAATTGTGCATGTGTATATATAATAAGGCAGTGCTATCAGCACCAGTTATATGTGCAACCTAAATAGAATAATTAATTCTAAATAATCTTGGGAGGGTAGTTTTCTGGCAAGAGGGAAATGTTATTTTAATATTCAACAGGGAGCAAAGTTGAAAAGCAAAAGGATAGGGATAGAATGGTGAATCTTTTGTTTTGGTCATACACTGGACTGCACTTTTTAAAACCCAGATCAAAAGAGAAACCATACTAGAAATAAACAGTATGGGGGGTTGATAATCTCAGGTAGATAACAACATATATTCAGCAATACTGATAGAGCACCACTACTGAGTCCAATCAAGTGGTTGAGTCCCTTGCAGAATTCTTATTTGCTCTCTGAAGTCTTTCACCCACAGCTTTCAGATCTGGAATGGCTCCCTCAATACCTCCTGTGCAAAATGGCTTGCTGACTTGTTCCAAAATTTATTCCATTCAGCTAAAGCCAAGGAACACACTGTCCTGGTTTAGGTAGAAAGACAGAAAAGATTATTCTCCAGTTTTTAGGCTGAAGACAGCGTTGCAGTTAGATCCCCTGGAATATCACAGAAATGCTTATAATAAGTATATTTGGTCTCATTTTTTGAAAAAGTGTTACATCATAATGTTGGAAAATTTTGCATGTGTTTATAAGGAAGCTGTTCACAGACTGTCCTACATTAATTTATATTTATTATATTGAAGTACCATTTTATGTCTGATTTCGTTTTGAGCAAAGTATTGTGATGGATATCATACACAATGATTAGCAGCCTCCTAGTAAGGGAGGATAGAACATGACTGTTCACCAGCTGCTCTTGCTCTATTAGTTGTTTGGTTTTTCTGTTTAATTCAGAGGTGTAAGTTACACGAATCTCTTCTTTTTCTCCCCCTTCTTTTTTTTTCCACCTGAAAATCATGGTAAATTACTATCAATATTTTTATTTTTGTTTAAGGAACAAGAGTTAATGAAAATAGTTGGAATAAAATATGAAGTTGGGTTGCCTACACTTTGTTGCCTTAAACTTGCTTTTCTTGACCCCGATACGGGTAAATTGACTGGAGGATCATTTACAATGAAGTAAGAAAAATCAGTGATCATATATACAATTTTATTTATGTGTGTCTCTGTCTCTTTCTCTCTCATCCCATGTCCCACATATACACCTTTGCAACATGTTTTATATATATTCAAAATAAAATATGTTTCTAAAATTAATTTCACTTAAAGAGCTTAAATAATAAATTTGGGATGATGTTTTGGAGATTTGAGAATATCTAATTACACAAGGAGAGTTTCCATTCTGTGCTTCCTCACCTCCATCCCCCAATGCATTTCAACCCTCCAGGATACATTTGGGAAACAGACTGGGAAGAGAATCTGATCTCGCTATGATCATTAAATGGGATAAACATAACTGGGTTTATTTTATTATCTACTTAAGTTAACAGTATGATGTCCAGAATATGCCTAAATGGTTCAAGGTATCCCCACATTTAATAAAAAATACTTTAATTTTTATTTAAAATGTTGAAGTCTTATATAATCTCAGGTGAGATTACTGAAATCTTTGAGGGGTCTGGGGGATCATTTTGGGGAGCAGCAAACAGCACCTAAAAATGTTGTCAAGCCCTCAGTTTATCATAGACAGAATTGGATTCAGGCAATTACTGGTTGATGATAGAAGTGTACTTGAGAGCATTGTTTATTAAAGCAAATATCTAAAATGTGCTTTAAGAAGCTTTATTTGATTGTAATTATTATGCCTATCTCCCAATACAGAGGGAACTCAGCAGGATGGATTTCTATTCTTCTTGCAGCCCTTAATATTCCTGCTTTGGGGGATGAAAATATCTGAAATGAATTTTCCATTCTTGCATGACTAGACATGTCTACTTGTACAACATTAGATTACAGAACTTTTCCCTAATAATGGAATATCTCTAGGCTGAAAATGTATAACTAAGGATAGAATTAGAATAATAGCTGGCTTGAGAACTCAAATTTGTGAATGGTCAGGGAAAAGATAATAGACAGAAAAAGCTATTATTCCTATCTAGAGTTGATATATATAGACAAGGAGTTCTTGCTGGAAAAAACAAACTGGCTGCTAGCCAAATTTTGGATGAGAAATGATAGATGGCAAAAAGTTAGCTATAGTTTTTCCTTTCATCCCCCACCCCCAAGAAAACAACACATTTAGCTGCTTTTTCATTGAACTTTGCTATCAAACATATGCTTTAGTCTCTAGTTTAAAAAATGGAAATTAGTTGAGATTGTTCCACTATTTCTTGATATGTCTTTGAATGGATGAGTTCTCCAAAGTATTTATGATAGGTAACCCATTTTTCATACTATTTCATTTTGATTATATCTAGGTATCATGATATGCCAGATGTGATAGATTTCCTAGTCTTAAGACAGCAGTTTGATGATGCAAAGCACAGAAGATGGAATATAGGTAGGTGCTCTAGAATACATTTCAGTGATTTCATGGTCAAAATTCCGTGTTTTCAATAGAATGTAGGATAAATACCTATCCTTTTGCATGTGTTTGGATCCTCACAGTTTTCCATGTGTTAGAAGTTCAGACAACAAGATTAAAAATCCTTGCTCTTTTGAGAAATGCTTGCCATAAAAGTTTTCATTATATTATCAAGTGAATGTTTTTGTTTCCAGTTATAGTTCTTTGATTAGAAAAAGCAGGCTGTTGCCATACATATCTGGAATAAGTAGTTTAATGTTTAATATTTTCAGACATAAAATTTATAGCATTCAGATTTCACTGTCATTGGAGACCCCACTTAACTTTCTTCTTTCTACTTACTCCTTTACTGTCCCCCATACTGGAAAATCACCCAGCCAGTTTAAAAACTTGCTTTTAAAAAATTAATTCCATAAGGTTTTGATCTTTAAATCTGGTCATGAGAATAGGTTATTTGAGGGAGTGCCCCATCCCTATTATATCTACTCATTCCCACAGGTTGAGCAGGATGGGTATCCTATCTACTAAGGAGTTCCATCTGGCAGGATCTTTTTTGCTATGGCCCCACCCTTTGGAACATCAACCCTATGAGGCTGCCCCATTTCTGTTGTTCTTCTGAAAAAAAACCTTACGTGGTTTCTTCATGAATAGTTCTCAGTGTTCAATTTAGTTTTACAGCTTTTCTTTATTTGAGTTGGTTTTATCTTTATATTTCATAAACAACATTTTAACAAATAAAATGCTAAACTTGTTGGATCAAAGAAAAAAAAGGTCTCTTTAGAGTTGGTATTTAACTGGTTCGCACTGGTTCGGGAGAACCGGTAGCGGCGATTTGGCATCGCCGAACTGGTAGTAACTTCTGGCTGGCCATGCCCCTGACCCGGTCATCCAGTCGCCACTCGCTTGCTTGCCCAGCCCACCCGATACTTGCTCGCCTGCCCGCCGCTCGTCTTGCCCAGTCACTCCCTCCCCTCCTATGCAGCACGCTGGGTCCTCGTGGCTTGCCTTTCTAACCTGCCTTCCCCTTGTGGTGCCTGCACCCCAACTGAGCAGCCCTGATCTGCCTGCTCACAGGTAAGCCTGCGAGTCTTGTTAGCCCCTCCCCTGCAGTCCCAGACCTCTCCCTGCCATCCCCGGGCTTGGCTGGCTGGCTAGCTAAGCCATCATGTGCGCTCTCCCAGCTCTCCCTACCACGCAGTGGCCGTAGTGCAGCGAGCAGTGGTAGAGGTGCCCCAAAAGGGAGAGCGGGAACTCCTGGGGCTGCGTGTTGGGACATTGCAAGGGGATAGGATGGAGAAAGTCCAGCCTGTCTTTGCTTCTCAAACTATAGGCAGCAACATCCGGAAAAGACAAAGTTTCCTCTGACTTGGGGGAGGATTTAAAAGAGGGCAGCAGTCCGGGTGCAGGTGGGCTAAAAAAACCCTTTTCTTTGGGTTGAGGTGGAGCCAGTTCCCCCCGCCTAGACCTTCACAGCATTCACACATTCTGCCAACACGTGAATGAAATTGCCTGGCCGAGCAGGGTCTATCGCTGCTGCTTTTGACAAGACAGAGGGCAGGACCAGTCGGTCAGGTGAGGCCATCCAGACGATTCCCCCAGTGCCCAGAGGCTGCGAGGGTCCTGAATAGAGGTGTCAGAATAACACTTAGAAGGGACCTTGGGGGGAAACTTATACCATTTCAGAGAAATGGCTATCCAGTCTTTTCTTAAAAACTTCCAGTGATTGAGCACCCAGAACTTCTGGAGACAGGCACTTCCACTGGTTAATTGTTCTCACTTTCAGGAAGTTTCTCCTTAGTTTTAGGTTGCTTCTCTCTCTTTGCTCAGTTTCCATCCATTGCTTCTTGTTTGCCTTCTGGTGCTTTGGAAAATACATTGCTCCCCTTCTTTCTGGCAGCCCCTTAAAAGCCTGTTGCCTATCATACTCTTGGGCAAAGCATGTGAGCCATTTCCTCCTTTCAGTGGTCCATGGAAGTACATCTGTAGTATGTAGATAATAAGTCAGAAAAAGGTGAACATTTTTACAGAACTATAGATACGTTGAGGCTGGGTGTGACAAGGAATCGCTGGGAGAGGAGGGGCCAGACGAGGCATCCCTTGACATGAGTGACATTAGGGTTGGCCACGCCTACCCAGTCACATGACCACCAAGCTACACCCACCCAGTCACATGACCACCAAGCACGCCCACCAAATAAGCCATGCCCACAGAACCAGCAGTAAAAAAATTTAAATCCCACCACTGGGTCTCTTGGATATTTTAAACAACTTTGAAAACCCAAGTTAATAAATCAAAAGTTAGAAGTACCCACGCTTGAAAATATTACACAGAATTAAAATAGTTTTTGATAGTGTACAGTATACTAACTAGTAGGACTACACTATTATCTTTCTGTATAAGCACAAAATATCAGTGGGAAAATTGGTATTCAATCAGATGCTTGAATGGTTGCAAAATAAAGTTGTATAATGGCAAAATAATTAAGTATGGATTTCCCATTGGTACTGTTCATCTGTCTTGTTGATGCTAAAATTATACCCCAAACAAATTATTTTTTAAAATCTGTTCTCCCTCTTTTTTATTTAGATGTAAAGCTATTCTATTCCTTTGCATTTTAAATTATGAAAAAGGAGTATGGATGGTAGTCTCAACATGAAAAGACCTTATAATATCTTCTATTTATAGACACCTGGTAGAAGCCACAAACATAGAAAATGTCTCTAATGTATAATTCATGTTGCAGAATAGTGTCATGGCAAAGGCACAATCACCCTCAGTCACAGAGAATCGTATGCTTAGAAAATTTTCCTTGTTTATTAAAATAATGTTTCTGGATCAACTCAATTTACCTTTGTAGCAGATTTGAGTTTTTAATTGAATGAATCAAACCTATATTAAAAATAGTAATGCATATAAAGATGGTTAATTATATAGTTTGGTATGCCTGTCCAGGTGATCGATTTAGATCAGTAATTGATGATGCATGGTGGTTCGGAACAATAGAAAGTCAAGAACCTCTTCAGCCTGATTATCCTGACAGCTTGTTTCAGTGCTACAATGTCTGGTTAGTATATTGCCAATACAGCAATATTTAATTTCTCTGTTTTGTTTTTTTAAGTGCATTTAACTGTAAACTGATAAATGTCATTGCAATAATTGATATCTACTGTTTAAAATTGGCAAAATGTATTATCAATAAATATTTAGATAAATAATATTGTTCAAAATGTTTATTTTCTTTTTTTTCCTTGAAGTTGGGACAATGGAGATACTGAGAAAATGAGCCCATGGGATATGGAGCCTATACCAAACAATGGTATGTGCCTGCTTTCTCCTAGATGTACAGAAAGAGGATATAGAACTTAATGTCTGCAGATGTGATAATTTAAAAAACTGATTTTTCTTTAAAAGAGGAGAGAACCAGTTTTGGTTAATGAAATGATTGTGGGAAAATTCAATAACTGCATTTTGTTTAATGCTTCTGGTTTTCTGGACTGTTGAGGTTCATTGGGCAAAAGTATTGTGAACTCTTTAGAACAGGGGTGTCAAACCTGCAGTGTCACGGCAGCATCACATGACGTATCAGGACTTTTCCCCCCTTTGCTAAACCAGGCAGGGGTGGGGCCAACATGATTGATACATCTGGCCCATGGGTGAGGAATTTGACACTAAATTAGAAGCAGTAGGAAAAAAGTAATAATTTCAATTGTTAAGCCCCTGCTTTGTTTATTTAGATTAGTATGGTTCATAAATTGCCTAAAAGGTGTGAAAACCCACACATAAGTTGGCTAGGCTTATTGGTTAAGCCCAAAATTCTGGTCCTGTATTGTTTTTATCGTCATAACATCACCCTGATTAGTTGCTGGAAAATGATAAAGAATTGTTATGCTGCTATCGGTATAGTCTCTTCAGTTATAAAATTACAAGGGAAGTATATTTTCCTTGGTAAATATGGCAAATGAAACATAGAAACCTGTTCATAAATAGATCACTAATTAAAACAATTTGTACATTTTTACAGAAAGAATCCCATAATTCAGTATCTCATGTGTAGAGGTGTAGGAACTGTTGTTATAAAGGAACAATGATTCATTATAAGTTCTAAAGAATACTTTACATTATTTAAAGTTGGAAAATTTTGTTATTATCTTTCCAAACTACATTTCTTTTTTGTCTGCTATTGTTATCCTTTGGGCTATTAAGGGATCTCTTTTAATCAGAAATGATAAACTGAATTTGGCCTAAGGATTAAATCCAGCTCCTGTGGGGCCATAGCAATAGGATAACAACTTTGCATATTATTTACATTTTAAACCTTGATATTCATTTCTCTGGAGAGCATACAGGGAGCCATTTCTCCCCATTTTCTCAAGAGGGTAATTGGATTTGCCTGTACCTTCTACAAAAGTGGAGAAGGGGTACTGCAGAAATTTTCCCCACTAGGTAAGTTGTTAGTTCCTTCAGGCTTTGCCCAGAGTATACCTGCTCTGTAGTGCTTCAACTGGAAGCCACCTCTCATGATTCTTGATTGAGAATTAAGTAGGGGGCTTCTGTAGATTTCTCATAGTGAGTAAATTTTCAAGTAGAGAGAAACACACAAACTTGCTCAGCCAGAAACAGTTAGATGTGATTCATTGTCAGGAACCAGACACTGGGCAATCTCTTAAGTTTGGAGTTGGGTAAAGCAGATCTGATCCTGCAGAGGACAAACAAAATCTGGACGGCTTCGCCATTGACTTGACAAAGTGGAGATCCTCTTTCTTAATGCTAGGAGGATCTAGGGCTGTTTTTAACCACTTTATCCAAAGTCCTCAGTACTTATCATCAGATGCCAAAGTTTTTGGAAATAATATTTAACAGTATATTTGTTTCATATTGAGATAATTTGTTTGGATATGTTTCATCCTGCAATACCTTGTAAAACATATAGATTTAAACATATTTGAATAGCATGACTTACATCATTTTTAACTTTGTTGTTGCTTTAAAAAAAAGCATAGTTTAGTTTTAATACAGGGAGGAACATATTCCAGCTTCAAGGCTTCTAAAATTCCCCTTTTCCAGTCTATGAGGTTCTCTTTAATAGGAACAAGATTTTTCATGGCATAGATGTGGAATATCAACAATGTAGTTTATTGTAATTTTGAGTGGGAAAGCATGCCATTTTGATTGTTTTTATATCTCTGTTTTTACTATATTGTAAGCTGCTCAGATTTGCCTTGGACAGCAAGATGGCAGTCATGTAAATTTAATAAAGTTATGCAATTTAATACCTAGACTGTATTAATATTTCCTTTTTAAAGAGTCATCTTCCACCTTTATTTTAACATGAAAATTTGATTAAATTGTATGTTAATGGAAGAGGTTGGATAATAGAGATGTATATGCTGAATGCAGTTGTAATATTTCTATCACATGGCTATTATTGTTGAGATAATATTAACAACATTGCATTTCCTTAAATGCATTTTGTATTAATAATTACTATTATATCTCATGCTTTATTACAGCTGTGTTTCCGGAGGAACTTGGAACTAGTGTTCCTTTAACTAATAACGAAAGCAGATCTTTAATATACAAACCTCTGGATGGAGAATGGGGTTCCAGAACTCGTGATGATGAATGTGAAAGAATAATTTCAGGAATAAATCAACTGATGACTTTAGGTAATAATTTTAGTATGGCAGAAGCAACACAATACACACACACACACACACACACACACACACACACAATCTCTAAATGAATATCAAATCAAATCAAATTTAACTCCTGCTAACTTACATGGAGGTATCCATATAGTCTTCTTGGCATTATAAAGAAAAGATTTGCAATTCCTTTTTCCAAGTTCTGTACTATGTCCCAATCTAACCTTCATCCCTGGAAGTTTGTCCCATCCAATGTGAACACAACCAACTCTGCTAAGCCTTGTGGATCATCAAGGTTGGATGAATACTGCCACCTCGGTGGGCAAGTAACTTTTTTCTTATATCAGATAGTTATAAAATCCAAATCTGGATGTGTTTAATTCTCTTGTTGCTTTAGCATACATACATTTGTTTATTTATTTGTAAAAACATTGTTTTTCTGAAATCTAAGAACATTTTATTGTAGATATTGCTTCTGCGTTTGTGGCACCAGTGGATTTCCAGGCTTATCCAATGTACTGCACTGTTGTTGCATACCCCACTGATCTCAGTACAATTAAGCAGAGATTGGAAAATAGATTTTACAGGTTTGTTCTAAAGTTCATTTTATTCAAACTTTGTTTATGCCACTTGTTTTATATGCATTATTAAAACATTTATTATTGGTCTACAGCAGAGGTGTCAAACCCAATTGCATTGCAGGCCACATTGTGACATATCTGGATTATTTTTGCCTTTGCAGAGCTGGGATGGGTGTGGCCTACGTGGGCAGTATCTGGCCCACGAGCCACGTGTTTGATACCCCTGGTTTACAGCATAGATTTACTAAAGTATTTGCCACAATATCATGTAGAGATATTCTTGACCTTGTATTTAATTTTTCCCCATGTGATTTTTAGTATCCATTGATCTTAAAAGCAATGTTTTGAAGCTGCTTAAAAATTAATATTAGGAAGAAGACTATTTCAGTTATCCTGTTAAAGCTTTAGAATTTCATTCTTATGGAAGTCTGTTGCATTTCCTCATTAATGACGTTCCAAAAATTGGTGAAGACAATAATTTTTATGTATGCTTTTTATTTGGTTTTCCTCCCAGATGTCTTAGGTAGACTAACTTATATTGCCAGTTTTTTTATCCTGAAACTGGTTTTTGTGTTAAGGTTTAGTAAAGAATGTTTTTAAATTGTAAAGTCTGTTGATACAAAAATGATTAAATGAAAATGTAGGCAGTAAAAGCTCTGTTCTCTAACTTTATTTAGCAACCTAATGTCATTTACCTAAGAAACTGCATTAACAGTATTTTCAGAAAACTGTTCTATACCAGCTTTGCACAATCTCAAAAGTCCCTTTTGAACTTCTCCCTTTAATGCACTTTGAGAATTTTAACAAATAGTATTCAAGAACACTTGAAGCTGTTTATATTTGCACATATATTTTATTCTTCTGGCTATTAGGAGAACACTTTTAGTGCTGGCACTTCAAACAGGAAATGTTCTCACCAATAAAGAAGAATATTTGTAGCTCAGGATTGAAAGGAGAGGTCCTTGCTATTCTCTGAGCTTGCTTGTTTTCTTGCAGACGTTTCATTACCCAAACTAGGTAACATTATCAGTGCTCCTAAAGAGTGCTGAGAAACGTTATTCGTTTACCAGATATTAGCTTTATAGTATTTCCAATCCACATTTTTCTTGAAAACTTTTTATTTTCAAATTTTATTCTTTTTATATTTTAGGAACTATGTAAAGATTTTGTATGTCTCAGGAAATAAGAACAATATAAAAACACTAAGTCAAAACATATACCTACATTTTTCTTGGATTTCCTAATTTTTGTAATACATAAATAAATATGTAGCTATATTCCAAGTTGTTAGTAATTAAAGGGAAACAAAATAATTCATTAAACATTTGTATCATAAGTAGCTAAAATTGTTTTTTTAACTTCCAACAATATTTTAAATGTATAGTAATACTGGTTTTTGTTTAAATTCAAAGGCGACTTTCTTCCCTTATGTGGGAAGTTAGGTATATAGAATATAATACACGGACATTCAATGAACCAGGAAGTCCTATTGTCAAGTCTGCCAAATTTGTCACAGACCTTTTGCTGCACTTCATAAAGTAAGTTAATAAAGTTCAGAGAACAAATTTTAATATAATTTAACATTTTTAATTTGTGTGGGAGTTGTATATTTTACGTATTTATAGTTTATAATATTTATGTTTACAAAGGAGAGAATGCACTAACTGCTGATGAATACCTTGGGTATACTAGCACTTGAAACACTTGCAGTCGGTAAACTGAGATAATTCACACAGGCGTTAATCAAAGGCTTTTTTGCTCCAGATTTGTCTCTCACAGTCAAATTTAGAGCTTCAAGAAATGTCCCCTTTCCTTCAATATTAGAGGAAAGAGAAAAGATAAGATGCTACTATTTATTCAGAAACTCCTTCGATTTAATATTAGTAGAATCAAATAATTATTTGGTCTTGTCCAGAATCAATATCCAAGACTATTATACAGATGGTTCCACTTCATCACCACCACTGAATGGATACAGACTGAACTAGATCTTTGGACTAAGAAATCTAGTATGAATTGCTATAATAGCATGTTTTATTTTCTTGATGTTATAGGTTAGTCTTCTGTCACAACTTCTTCATTAAATTTCTTAGGCTCAGCAGATTCAGATTTTGGTGTAGCACAGGCCCTTAACTCATCAGGACACACAGTATCTACAGTGCTGTTTTTTCTGCTCTTAAAGCACAACTTTCTGAAACCATCTCTGTATTCCTCCTGGATACTTAATGATTATTGCTCTTTGCACTTTTGTTTAATATACTATCCGTCACAATAGCACCACCTCTGGTGAAGGATGAAGATGCTGCTTAATGAAGGATTTCTTGAGCTTCTTGAATTAGTGAATGTCACACATTTTCCACAACTGAATGGAATTGGTTCATCTTTTACTACTGCACCTGCAGCATTCTATCTTTCAATATTTATGATTAAATAAAAGTTGCTAATAGCAGGTCAACTTCAGGTGGAGTAACTGTCACCCTTATCCATTCTTTTGAAAGTCTCAAAGCCTTCAATTCTGAGTAATGCAGATTATGATCAGTGTACTTTGAGACATAAGGAATACTAATGAATTAATTTCTGCATTTTTCCTTCCTCTTTTGAAGTAGCTTCCATTTCCTCACAGGGCGCAGCTATTGGAGATTAAAACACATTATTGTTATCAAAAGACTGCATGTATAACTTGAATGTATAAATATTTACTAAGGATCCTCTTGGATTTTTGTCTTCCATCACATATTGGCTAGTGTATGCACATCAGTGGCATGAAACATGAAATTATCCAAACTTGTGAATAAGCTACTTTTCATTCTATTTAAGATAAAAATTATCAAGAATTTTATTATATTTCCACACGAAGAATATCTGATTTACCAAGCAGTGTTTTTGACTACTGATATTCCATAGTAGAGAGTGGAATGGTTGTTTTTGCTTTGCTTTATTTTTTGTTTAGTTTAATCTTCATAATTATAGACAATTTTCAGAGTAATTCCTACAGTTTTTTCCCTATCTTTAATTTCTATATCTAATTTTTAATGTTAAAGCTCCAAATACAGTTTTTTTAAATTAGGGGGTTTTTTGGTGAAAAGTTTTCATGTGAATCAAATGCTTCTTTCACCATTCTTTCTTAAATCTAGGGATGAAATTATATGTTTCCATAGGACCTCTACCCTTAAAATGCACACAGGCTTCCTTTTTTGTTAAAAGGGATTATAAAAAAAGACTAGGTTATTTTTAGTGTTTTTCAGAGACAAATATTGCTAGTATTCACATTTGCTAAGCAATACTTTTGAAGATTATTCCTGATTACTCTAGCATCTTTGGTAATATTATTAAGAGTGTCTTGCTACTGGAATTTCCATGTTTGCCCATAACTCAGTTGTTGTTGTCTTTTTTCATTCAATATTACCATATTTTTCACACGATAAGATGCACCCCCAAAAAACTGGGTGGAAATGTGTGTGCCTTATAGAGCGAATGTTGCCGAAGCCCCACCAACACACTGGTCCCCAACCTCTGGCCTCTACCTCTCAGCAATTTGCCTCCTTGCAGCAAACAGCCTGGTCAGCTTCAGCACAGCCTGAATTAGCATGAGTAGCTGATTGGCAGTTGGATCAGCCTCCCGGAATAACGCCAATCAGTTCCAGGCTGCAGAGATCGCCAACGCCGCATGCCCGATTTTTGGCCTCTGTGCATCCTGTTTTTGTCCTCTGCATCCCATTTTGGGCTCTGTGTGTCCTGTTTTCAACCTGTTCCAATCACTGCCACCTGGAATGGGCCAAAAATGGGATGCGCAGAGGGTGAAAATGGGGTGCACAGAGGCCAAAAACTAGATGCGCAGTGGCTTGAAAATGGGACGCGTGGAGACTAAAAATGGGCTGCGCAGAGGTGGCAATAGGTGGCGGCAATCAGCAGCGATGGTGGCGATGGACAGCCGTGATCCCTGCAGCCTGGAACAGCTGATCAGTGGTATTCCAGGAGGCCAATCCAACTGCCAATCAGCTGCTCGTGCTAAATAAGGCTGTGCTGAAGCTGACCAGGTTGTTTGCTGCAAGGAAGCAGATTTTCCCCCCTTGTTTTCTTCCCCAAAAGCTAGGTGCATCTTGTGGTCTGGACTGGAGCCTCTTATAGTGCAAAAAATGCGCGTACTTATCACATCATCTCTTGGAAGGACTGTTTTGTGCCTTATTTGTAATAATTCTTAATATTTACCGCTCAATTACACTTTAAAAAACATGAAGACTTGATTTCTTTCCTTTGGCTGAATCTTTTGGTGATCATGTTGTACCCTGTAAATACAGTGCCCTGCTGCAAGTATATTAACTTCCTGTTGGAATATTTATATATCAGTTATTGAAACATATAGATTTTTTTTTTAATGCTGGAGTACACTGGAGTACAAAAATATAAAGTAGTGGATGCAGATAAGTTCATTAATGTCTAGTGTTTGTTTTGAACAGGGATCAGGCCTGTTATGATATAATCCCACTCTACAATGCCATGAAGAAAAAAGTCTTGTCTGATTCAGAAGAGGTAAGTTAATTCAACATGCAATACATTTTAAAGGAAAGTGGTGGTTTTGTCTCAAAATTCTGTTTTTCAGCCCAATACGTCAACCTAAAATTAATACTTGGCAATAGAAATAAAATACAATACCTTAAACAACCATCTATATTACAAAAGTTTAATGCAGTATAAAATCTGTATTGGGAAGACATCTTTAGATAAGAATGACAGCTATTGTCATTTATAAATACCTGTTAATAATGTCATGTAAGTCCAATCCTTGTTCACATGTATGGCTGTGCCAAATCTGAGTACAGGTAGTGTAGGGACTACAACTGGAACAGAAGGTCCCATGACCACAACTGTGGTAAGGATTTTATTTCAGCTTTCCTTACCTTCTGTTACCTAACTGGAATGCTCACCCCAGTTTGGATAATTATCAAGAAGGAAATTAATATTTGTATTTACATTAATCGGCAAGGAAGGGATTATAGGAGAGTAAGCAGGCCACGATGAGAAATACACATAGAAAGGAAACTGCCTAGCTCACCCCCCCACCCCACCCCCTTTACTAGGCAAACAAAAGCCAAAGTTGTGACATGATTAAACTCTTACAAGCAGTAGCTGTGAGGTGGCTAATTAAGGTTACAGAGCTGAGCTTGTTAACTTGCACTTAGCACCTTTGGGAGAAGTGCTGGGGAGAAAAGCAGCTCAGGAAGAGATCACTTGTCTAAACAATTTCTGCAAGGTGGGAACAAAAGAAAAAAAAATGGGTCAGGTACAGGGCATTGTGCATTTGTTGACTGCAGTGATGAACATGTGACAGAAATTGCAAAGTTGTAAATGTGCATCTTGGTTGCAAAGTTTTTTTTCAGAGCAATTGCGACTTGTGTTAATGCACAAGGTAGTTGATAAGCGGTAGGTCGATAAAACTGGTATTACATCCCCAAGTATGAGCTTTAGGGGTTCTATCTGCAAACTGATTTTATTTCTTAGAATCTTATCTTTCTGATAGAAGATAGAATAGAGTAAAACAAAAAAGAAGAGATGATCTGTAATTCCATAATTTCCAAATGCAGATGTACACAAAGGCTACATCACTTTGGAACGAAGAACACACAAGTGCACCCCCGTGCGCGCACACACACACACACAGATTGCTCTGAGACTTAGTACAGGCATTTGTAAGAATCTCAAATTTTAAAGAGCATAGAAACTTTAAACTCAGAAATGGCTTTAATTTGTCATGCACTTTTAAAAAATTGGCTTTATAGAATCCCAGAGTTAATATTGAGCTTGTTTATATATTATTATAAAATTGGAAGAAACCCGAATGTTTATTGTAATGTTGCAATTTTCATATTCACAGTATTATTTTTACATAGTCAATCATTGCAGATGAATTATTACTTTATTATTATTTATGATGGTATAAAGAAAACTAGATTAGTATCAAAGACACGTTATTTTTAGCCATAAACTAGTTTCTAGAATCCACGTGTTGAAACTTTAGTAGGAAGGCATTCCCTTATTTTAGTATAACAGAGTTGGAAGGGATCTTGGAGGTCTTCTAGTCCAAACCTCTGCTCAAAGCCTATGCCATTTCAGACAAATGGTTGTCCAATCTCTTTTTAAATATTTCCAGTGTTGGAGCATTCCCAACTTCTGGAGGAAAGTCATTCCACTGATTAATTGTCCTAACTGTCAGGAAATTTCTCTGTAGTTCTAGGTTAGTTCTTTCCTTGATTAGTTTCCATCCATTGCTGCTTGTCCTGTCCTCAGATGGGTTTGAAGAATAGCTCTTCTTTGTGGCAACCCTTGAGATAAGGGAATCATGTCACCCTATGTCTTTCTTTTCATTAAACTAAGCATGCTCAATTCCAGCAACTGTTCTTTATATGTTTTAGCCTCCAGTCCCCTAATTATCTTTTCTGCACTCTTTCTAGAGTCTCAACATCTTTTTTTACCTCATGGTGATCATTATGTTTTGCTTTGCTTTTTTGTTCAGTTTTTATCATAATGTTTTTCCCATTTCTGCTTAAACCTTGCAAAATGGATTGTATAATTTGTACGTTTGTAGCATTGGCATCATATACACAGAGAAGTGAGAAATGCTGAATCTAATAGAACCAACTATAGCAAAATGTGTGCTGTGCCTAGTGATAGACAAGCAGAATTTTATTGTGCGGTGATAATTTCTCTCCAAAAACATGTGACATCCATTTACTCACCCGGATGGATGGATAGATGGATGGATTGGAGGGGATATGAGATTCTGTTGCATTGACAGAAGCAAATTTATCATGGACAAAAATAACTGGATTACAATCAATGGGTTGTGCAGTTGCCATATATGTTTTAGCACACAATAAAAATGAAGAAGCACATAATTCCTTGATATAAATTTAAGAAGGAACAATAAGGTTGTGTCAAAGTGAAATATTTTTCAAATGCTGAATGTTTCTACATCATATAATGGATATTTTGTTGCCCAAAGGAAGAAGAAAAAGATGCTGACATGCCAGGAACTTCCACAAGAAAGAGGAAGGTAATTTTTGTTCTAAATCTGTATTTCTGATTTGATAATGTGCATTTACAACCTGTTAAGCTGCCAGAGTCACCTTGTAAAGGAGATGGGCAGCAAAAAATTTAATAAGTAAAATAAAATTTGACATAGGAGGGCTCACATAGCATGAATAACCCACCTGGTTCCATATCACAATCATTTGACTAGTTTTATGTACCAAGAGCACAGAAGATGATCGTATTAGAAGTAACCTCAGAAGTTAATCCTTGCTCAGTGTAATTTCCACAAAGGCATTGCAACAGATGACTATCCAGCTTCTGCCTGATGAAACAGAGTTTGGGAACATAGAAGAGGCAGCACAACTGTTAAGGGACGAGTGTAAACAGAGTTATTACAGAACAAGATTCATGAATCCAGGGAAGGATAAAAGTGTGAACCAGTATCAGGTGCCCAATAAACAGAGACCAAACATAACTCTGCCTTAATTACACTTGCTATAGGCTTTAGGCTGTGTAGGAGAGTTATTTTAATAGGTTTTCATATTATATTATCCTACTAGCATTTAAGATATTTTCAGAAATCCAAATGATCCTTGTTTTCTGAGGTTGCTGCCTTGCTTTTGATATTTCTCTTTGAAAGTGTCCAGGAAGGCAAATTTTTCCACTGGTTTATAACTCTTACAGTCAAGTACCTATGGAGATTCTCAGTCATCCAGGTCATGGTTGTCCCAAAGGTGCTTTTCCAAGAGGCAACTTGAAAAAACAACAAGAAGTCCATTTGCCTCTTGAAAAAGCACCTTTGGGTCTTACAGTCAAGATATTTTTCTAGTTTCAATCCATTAGTTCTGGTTCTGCCCTCTAGGGCAATAGAAAATAGCATGCATCTCTGTGTCTTTTTTAGACTGAATGATATTCAATTCATTTAATCATCCTTCCTAGGATTTGGTTTCTAGTTTCTTCATAAACTTGCTCAGGGGTATTGATGTCTCTTTTGTACAGAACTTGACACAATATCTCAAAAGAGCTATAACTAAAGAATGGTACAGTGGGACAGTTTGTAACTATGCTTTATTTCTGCCTTTGATTTCCTTTCTCTCCAAATGCAAGACTTTTCTTCCTGTTTTAGTCCAATATTCAAGCTGGCTTTTTTAAAATGTGCTCTCTATTGTAAAATGTTAATTTGATCCTTACAGTGTTATGTCATCTGTGGATTTAATACTCATCCCCTGAATGTTGTCATTTAATTCTTTAATAACATGTTTAAAAGCATGGTTCTTAGAACAGCTGGCCAGAGTCATTTTTCAGAATGAGACAGGTCATATAAATGTAATAAATAAGTTCTGCCCTATGCCCACATCTGATATGGAGCTACTTACAAGTACTTTGTAGTCATGACCAAGAGGTCCGTCAAGTGTTCCAACAACCAAGATTTTAATCCTTCCAACTGCTACAAAGGAGGTTGTGAGGCCTTCTCTTTAAATAAAAATTATGTGCTAAGTCAGTATCACAGTGGAGATATTTTTCATTCACTCAGTGTCTGAAACTCAAAGGTGTATATTTTTATGGTATCTCCAAAGAATCTGTGTCATTTAGAAGGAACAGTTAACTGTCACATCACATGGAGAGGCTTTTACTAACTATAAATATGGCTGAGTTAATTTTAGGCTAAATCAAATCTCTTCTGATTTAATTGGTCGAGTCAGCTCAGATTTTGAGTCTGCATGACATGCCTGCTACTCCCCATCTATGTATATATGTCTTTTAATACCACATATTTATGTGTTTAATAATTATAAAACTAATTGTTATAGGATAACTTGGATAATTATGAGTTGGAATTTCAGCAAGGAAATATGTAATAAAAGATAGTAACAAAAACATAATAAAAGCTGTTTGAAATTGCCATTACAGGAGCATCAGCCAAAGAGAAGGCTACGTAACAGAGCTCAGTCATATGATATTCAGGCATGGAAGAGGCAGTGTCAGGAATTGTTAAATCTGATTTTTCAGTGTGAAGATTCTGAACCATTTCGCCAACCAGTGGATCTTATTGAGTATCCAGTGAGTATTGAAAAAAGTTAGCATTTTACTGAAACATTCCTCTTAAAAAATGAAGCAGAAGAATGACTATCCTATTTTTTAAAGTAATCAACAAATATTTAAATTTGAATCCACAGTTTTACATGTGGATTTTGCTCTTGGACTTTCAAGGTTTGATTAAAGATTTGTGATGTTTAAAAAGCTTTTAAATAACAGTGTGGCTGCACTATTCTTATTACCTTATTTTTTAATGTTAATTATTGACATTTGTGCTTTTTAAAAGGATTACCGAGACATTATTGATACACCAATGGATTTTGCAACAGTGCGAGAAACCTTAGAAGCAGGAAACTATGAATCACCATCGGAGTTATGTAAGGATGTCAGACTGATCTTCAGTAATTCCAAAGTTTATACACCATGCAAAAGATCAAGGGTATGGCTTCACAGTTTATATCTAAGGTGTATTAATATTACACCATGGGGTGTGTTTATTCCTCTGAATGTTAATTATATTTGTTATGTTTGATATGGCTAACAGAAGTATAGAGAAGTTCTACAATCCAGTTTGGATTTGACTTGGTACCTGGTTCTAGACCAAGATTTTGAAAAATAAAACTTTTTCTTTTCATAATAATCTAACACAGGAAAAATATTTCAAAAAGTTAGAGACAAGAGATGCAGTATGGATAAAATTCTATAGAAATTAGTTCAGGGCATTGTCATCAACTAACTCTAAAAATCAGTTTCTTTTGAAATCTCTCTGATACTTTGTTTTGCCATATATTTTGATGGCATGTGCGATGATACGGTACTAATGATTGTGGAGGTAAAATTTTACATAGATGTGCGGGGGATGGATATTGATATAGAATGATGTGGGCCTTCCCTGAATATTATAGTTCTGATTTTTTGGTGAATTGTCTTTTTATTAAATATTGATGAACATGGTATTATGAAAATTATGAATAATATTACATGATGTTTTGCCTGTAGCTGAGTGCTTCTGCCAAAATTACTTTCAGAAGAAGCATGGGCAGTCACTTACCAAATGTGAAAAACCAAAGGACCATATTAATAGAGTCCAATAAAAGCAACTTTTCATAAGAGTCACCTCTGATAATTAAATTGGAAATGTTTTCCTTCTTGTAAAGGTTTATTATTAACTTCCCAGAATCTGGAAAAAGACTCTGCTCAGATAGTCCTAAATTTGATAGTGAAAGTTTCTGAGCCTTTTTTGTGAGTTTGTACACATTATTTTCAGAGATAGAAACTTTCTGTTTACATTCACTTATTTTCTGAAACTACATTGCTTCATTATCTTTATCTTCAATGTTGAATTTATTTAAATTGGAGTAATTAATATGTATGAAGTTACTTCTGAATTAGACATCACAATTTTTTTTAAAAAAATGTGATTAGCTTGGGTCAGCCACTTAATGCATAATACAGTAAAAAGAATTGTGTGACTGCTCAAAATGATACCACATGGAACATCACATGAACCGAATGATAAAATATCACATGGAGCAAATGATATAAAAAAAATTAAGAACTCCAGACCCAAAAGCATTTTCATCTTTCAAGATACTGTGGTTGGGTTGACCCAAGATGGCCAAGACCAGTCCAAAATACTTCCTTTTCTCTTATAATAAAGCAAATATACTCCTATTGCATTTTAGCTTTTTTCTTGATGATGTGAATTTATGATTATTTAGAGATGAATATTGGGCAAATAGGAGAGATTTAAAAATAATTAACTTCCTTCACTTCATTTTCCAATGTGGACAAGAGTATTTATTTTATTAGCTTAATTTTTTGCGCATTCTAGAACAGTGGCGAACCTATGGCACATATGCCACAGGTGGCACACAGAGCCCTGTCTGTGGGCATGTGCGTCGTTGCCTCAGCTCTGCTGTGCATGCGTGCGCACCTCCCACCAGCCAGCTGGTCTTCGGGTCTCTGCTGCTCATGAAGGGGGACAGGGTGCATGTGCAGGGTGTGCATGCATGTTGCATTTGGGGTATGCACAGGGTGTGTGCACGTGTTGCATTTTGGCTATGTGCACAGATGCGTGCTTTCAGCACTTGGTGCAAAAAAGGTTCTCCATCACTGCTCTAGAACAGGTTTAGGTCAAAATATTGAAGTATGCAGGAATGTTTCACATTGAAATGTTAAGGCCCTGAAATGCTGTTTTGTTCTTTGGTGATAGTTAACTCTATTAAAAATTATCCAAACTCAAATGAGTTACTGCAACTGTAAAATAAGTCAGGATGGTCCTTCTTGGCTTCTGGCACTGTCAATTAAATTTGAACACTTTCTTGTTTTAATAGCAATAGCACTTATATACTGCTTCACAGTGCTTTTATGGCCCTCTCTAAGTGGTTTACAGAGTCAGCATATTTCCCCCAACACTCTGGGTCTTCATTTTACCAACCTCAGAAGGATGGAAGGCTGAGTCAACCTTGAGCCTGCTGAGATTTGAACTGCCAAATTACAGGCAGCTGGCAGTCAGCAGAAGTAGCCTGCAGTACTGCACTCTAACCACTGCGCCACCAGGGCTCATAATTAGGACTGTTAAGGGTGAGAATGTTTGACCTTGAAAACATATTGCACATAATTATTAATGGCTACATGAATCATGTTATATTAATTCCTTTATACAAAATTATTCTATATACTGGAATACTGTAGGTTTTTAATTTATATTAGTGTTTCATGTGGCGCTGACAAATATAAACAATTAAATTAGAAAATAGGGCAAGGCTTAGTATGTGCTTTATTTATGAACTTTCTATCCCACATTTTCATCACTGAAAACATTCTGACACCATATATTGCATTGAATTGTAAAGTAAGGATGTTTGTAAGGGTCTCTTGAGGATGTCACATATTAATAACACCAGCATGTTCATGGAAGTTTGGAGCAGTATATATATATATGCATATATATTCACCCCCTCCCTCACATCAATGGACCTCCACCTCACCTGGCTCGTTCCTAATTGTCCATTTCCTGGGGATCAGCAGCCTAAGCGGGGTGCGATAGGGGAGGAAGCAATAGGAGTTAAGCCTCCATCGATTAACATGTCTGAAGTAAAAATGATAGAGCTAATCACAGGTGGGAGGTGGGTAGACGTGCCTATTACGTGTTCAATGGCTAAATTGATAGATGATGGATAAAGGCGAATGTCTCTTCAATGGTAGTTTTTATACTCTGACGATGTTAGCAGAGACTAACGAAAGCTAAGTGGATAATATAGTTTAAGTTCTGGAGATTGTGATGTCTCTCTCTCTCTCTCATATATATGAATTTTGTAGGCAGTAATTAAAATTTTATGTATCCATTCAACATTTATATCATAATTTCTTGTTTAATTTTTAAATAGATTTATAGTATGAGCCTACGCCTGTCTGCTTTCTTTGAGGAGCACATTAGTTCAATTTTATCTGACTACAAATCTGCCTTACGCTTTCATAAAAGAAGTACAATTCAAAAGAAAAGGAGTAAAAGAAGTAGAAGCAGTTCTCTTTCAAGTAGTGCTGCATCAAGGTATGATACAGTTCTTTCAATTGTATCTGAGTTGTATCAGTATTTTAATGCTACTTTCTATAAGCCCTATATAATGTTTCAAAAATGTGATGCCATTTTATTTGAGTAGATTCAGGTCCAGCCCCCTTTCTATTTATTTAGGTACCACTATAATAGTAGAGATTTTGAGAGGTAGAAGGGGGATCTTTTTTCTTAGCAATGATTTTTTATTTATTTTTTATCCTGTGCTTATTATTTTTATGAATAACTTATAAAATAATATAGTGAACCCTAGCACTCCTTCCTCCTGTTTTCCCAACCCTGTGAGTTGGGCTGAGAGAGTGTGTGACTGGACTAAAGTCACCCAATCAGCTTTCATGCCTAAGGTGGGACTAGAACTCAGTTTCCTGGTTTCTAGCCTGATGCCTTAATTACTAGACTTTCATATCATAACTATCATTTCTGACCATTGACTAGCCAAAACTCAAAATACAGGCATTGTTGTAAATACATTTTAAAATATTTGAGTGGCAGAGTTCAGTAAGAAGATGGAATTGTTCTGAAACTGTCCCAAGTGATAAAAAATATGTTCAATCTCAGCAGCATTGGAAGGATAAAAGGCCTTATAATGGAAAGTGAATTACATTCCTTAAGGAACCCTCCTTAAGTGGAACATTCTAGAGACAGGGAACAACAGTGCAGATGATTTTTTCTGATTGCTGTTAGCTATCTTCCAACTATCTAATTAGAATAGCTTTTTGGGAAGTGGGGATAGGGGTGAGAGACAAACTTACTTGTATGCCAGATATCGTGTAGTTCTTTATATAGTTGGATTTGAGCTTTTTGGATATTTGAGAGTATTTTGAATTATAGGGAAAATATAAAGAAAGAGTAAGGTTATTCTAGTTATTCTAAGTTCTAAAGTAGACCACATCTGAATTAAATCTCCACTGGAATTGCTCATGGATTAAATTGGTTGATGACCAAAACATATTATTAATAAATAAATATTGTTTTTATTTTACTCTATAAAATAGCATCAGTTATTGGACTTGTCATCTATTTTTAGTCCGGATAGGAAACGAAGATTAATAAAACCGCAGCTGAAAGCTGAGCTCGTCACTACACCTTCTTCTGCGCCTGCGCGCCCAACCTTATTGAGAAACATAGCAGCTCAGATGAATGGGAAAGTAGTTGACTCTGCGAGTTTGGTCCGAACAAGAAGTACCAGGGCGATAAATGAAACAACCATCAATGAACAGCCTTCTACTTCTTCAGGTGCAAAGCCTGTAACTTTGAAACCTAATAGTGCTGCTACATCAGGAAAAACAGGTGAACTAATTGATAAAATTTTAATTCTAAATTTGCCTTCTTATGATTTCTATTATAGAATCAGAATTTGTAGCGTATGGTTGTATTCACAATGTTCAGTTACAAGGGAGTTTTTCTTAAGAGATGGTAACTTTCTTAGAGAAGCTTCTCAGGAACTTTTTAAATAGTTTTGTTGGTTGGGAAATTTATTTGCCTACACTAGACCTTCTATTATTGTTGTCACTAATTATTAATGGGCAACCTCAATGTATACCCATTGTCAGTTTCTTAAAGGAGGTATTTTCCTGAGTTTGTATATTTGAATTAAGGAGGCACTAACAACCTGCCCCTGCCTCTGTAATATCTCCTGAACTCAAATAATTTCCTGAATCTGCATATGCTGTATGAGCTCAGGACAGGTACGGCAAGAATGCTGGATTTGAAGCACCTTTGCTTATTTTGATCTAAATAACTACATTCTATAACAATACAGAAATATAAAAGTGTAATTGTGTAAACAATAAAGCTTTAATAAATCTTATGAAAAGAGGATGAAGAACAGCATCTTACTTTGTATGCACTTTGTATGTATTCCATATTGAAAATATTAAATTATTAATGAGCAGATTTCTATTAGATTCTAATGAAAACTTACCCTCTTTTTTTGTCTAATAGTACTAGAAAATTCTACCAAGCATTCCAAGAACCAGAATGTTTTGCCAGTCCCTAATCAAAGCAATTATATCCATAACACTAGGAATAATACTGCAAGAGAAAATTTAGAAAAAGATAAACTAATTAAACGTAAACCAAAATCAGCTATGGTCAATCCACAAGGTAAGTTTCATTGGTTTGTTCATTGCTTATTTGTAATATCTATAACATCTATTAAAAACATAGTAACAAAATGCAACAACCTGACTAAAAAGGAGAAACACTACAAAATGGTGCTTTCTTCTCCCAGATGATCCTTTGCAGATGATCCAGAAGGGTATATATGACAGACATGATATTCTTCCGATTAAAATTGGAATTCCGATTTTTTTGGGAATCGCCCCCCCTTTCCCCCCCTTCTTCTCCTCCTTCCCCTCCCCTCGGAGGCCCCGAGTCAGGAGTTGCTACCGCTGGCGTGGCTCTGCGTGGCTCCAGTCCCGCGTTGCCTCAAGAAGGGAAAGGCAAAAAGGAAGAGCCGCAGCGGGGCTTTGCAACGGCAGCAGCGGCTCCTGGTTTTGCCTTTCCCTTCCCGAGGCAACGCGGGACTGGAGCCACGCCAGCGGTAGCAACTCCTGACAGCCCCAGCCGGATACCTGAGCGGAGGCCGGGCGGGCGGGCGGTGCGAGCAAAGCCCGGGCGGGCGGGCAGTGCGAGCGGAGCCCGGGCGGGCAGTGCGAGCGGAGCCCGGGCGGGCGGCAGGAAAAGGGAGCTGGGCAGCGATTTCTTGGTGCGCGGTGGGGGGGTCTCTTTTGGCTGGCCCCGATTTTTTTTTCAGAGGGGAATATCATGCCTGATATGATCAGTAATATCAAAGGCCACCAAGATATCCAGGATCATACTGCCATTTGTGTCCTGACTCAATTCCTCATCAAGGAACCAGCCTCTACCTAATGGGCTCCTCATTGAATATCCTCCCTCTTTTCCTCTCTGTTAGATATGGGTCTTTCACAATTCTCACATCCCTCAAAGGGCTGTATTCGCTATAATTAGTTGGTGGCATATGATGTTGAAAAATAGATAATAGATTCAGCAGGTTGATAACTCCAATTCTACATTTTAATCTGTAAATTTAAGTTTGTGCTGTTAAAAATGGCTGCTGTGAGTCACTTACACATTACTTTGTTGTTATAGCAGATTGCAAGAATAATGCAGTGGCTTTGGCCTTGGGAAGCATCCAAGTAAATGGACATGGGGAGCAATCTTCAAAACCTGTATTTAAGAGAGGCCCTGGACGGAAACCCAAGATTGAGACCAACAATACATGTGAAGTGGTGCACAAGAAAAGAGGCAGAAAACCCAAAACCCTGTTACTTGCTGAACAGAAACATTCAGAGGTGCACAGAAACCAGACTATGAAAGATTTGACAAAAGAAGAAGCCTCTGTTTCTACTGCATGCAATTCTGTCTCTGAAAATAATGTGAAGGAAGACTTGTTACAAAGAAAAGGGCGTGGTGGGAGAAAGCCTAAAAGAAAACTACAGGAAGATCAGCCAGCATTTGAACTTACTTTTACTCCTGATCCTAAGATTCAGACAAGAAGCAGGAGGAAAAAGATAGATGAGCCTGTTGAAGAAGAGACTGAGGAATTTAAAGATTCTGAACCTCATATGAGAACTAGAAACCAAGGTAGGAGGACAGCCTTTTATAATGAAGATGATTCAGAAGAAGAACAAAGACAGCTGTTGTTTGAGGACACTTCTTTGACTTTTGGAACATCTAGCAGAGGCAGAGTCCGAAAGTTGACTGAAAAAGCAAAGGCTAATCTGATTGGTTGGTAATTTTGGCATTTAAAAATGCTAATAAATAGGTACAGTTGAGGAATTCATAGACCTAAGGGTATCTGCTTTCTGCTGCTATTTACGGATGAGAATATGTTCTAATATGATAAAATAATAGCAAAAACAAATTGAAAATTTCTTGAAAGAAGTATGTATTTTAAACAATTGCTATTTATTGTTCTCCAAATAGGTTATGCATTTCAATTCAGTATGTTCAGTTGGTATAAATGAAATCCTTGATTTCCAGAAATGTTACTGTAATTTTGAGCAGTACATAAACCTCTATTTGAATAGTAGAATTTTTAATGTAAAGATTGAAAACAGAACTCCTATTTTTGAATGAGCAAGGTACAGTACATTTGTATAGATTGTAGAAACTGTATTTGCAAGATCATAGAGTCTAGCACTAAATGCCATTGAGAACAAAACAAAATTACCAAATTTGCTAATTAGTTACCATCAATTCAATAGTGATTGGGCACACTTTTATACAAACACAGGGCAGATCATTTTATCTAAGTTCTGCCAGAGAGAGAGAGAGATCACATATATAGATATAGATATAGATATATATATATATGTATATATCCACATTGGAAAAAGTTTGACTAATACGTCTAATTTTTCAGACCTTCATTCTTCTACCAATCATATCTCTGTTTATTGTGCCAAAGACTGAGAACCAGAATAGAGAAAAACTTTTACTATGAGTGCAACATATTTTCAATTATATTTATCACTCCTTGTTCAAAGTATACCTTATTCTGGAATATTACCTCTACTGGTACATTGTAATAAGAGCAGTTTATGCAGTGGTAGGATCTTTTGAGAGATATTGAAACAAAATATAATTTGATTAAAGGGTTCAGTTAAGCTGCAGGAAAAGTGTGAGACTCTGATGTTTATGTTATGATCAGATTGCTTCTATGAATTGTGTTAAACTGACTAAAATTATTTTCAAAAGAAGTTGACGTGTATGTATGTATTGAGTATATACATGAGCACATAAACATAAAATTACCCAGGTATAATTTTTTTCCAGGATTTTTTAGATTGCTCTACAATATTAAACATTTTAAATGTCAAACTTTAGGGGGAAGATTGGTTGTTTTCCATTATTAAAGATAAAAAGGCCAAATCACTTTTTATGCAATCATATTTTATACAGTGTTCTCATTGCACATTGTTTTTCTGCACTTTTTACAGTATACTTAACCAAGCTGACATCAGTCAATATATCCATCCTAAAGGAAATTTCCACTTTATGATTGTGCCTTGTATTCTATTATTTTGTGCATCTTTAGTAACCTTAAGTTGTCTATTGTAAATGATGACTGTATGACTTAGGGGAATGTATTGCTGTATGTACTGCTATGGGGGAAAACAGTTATTTATTTGTTTATGGTACATTTACTTATTTTATCCCTTTTAAAATCTTAATACAATGTTTATTGTTTAAAATCATAGTCCATTTAAAAATGCAGAGTAAACAGTTGTATGGTACAAAAATGTAACCACACTTTTACTTTAACATTCTTGCAGGAAATGGGACATGTGCAAAAGATGGCAATTTAATTTTGTTTGATTTTATTTGGAAATACATTATCTAAAAATGCAGATGTACAGCAGTGTGTTGCCTGTTCCAAAGATGCTTGGTATGATTAATTTTGACAGTGCAGTTTGAAGAGTAAGGATCTGAATCTTAAGCTTCTATGTTTTCACTGAATTCAGTGTTTCATTCCTCCAAATAGATTATTGGCACTACCAAAGATTGTGGTATTGATCAGCTACTTGATCTTACACACAGTTGGAGAATTGTAGGTAGTTTTAGTCACCACAGCCAAATCCGTGCAAAGGAAATTTCAATTGAATAGAGTTCAGCACAGATGCAGGAAAATTGATTGCTTGGAATGGAAATATATTTAATATTCATTTTGAACTCCAGCCAATTATGTGGCAACCCAACTTTAAAGTATATTTGTGGTTTAACCATAGAACTTAAAAGTGTAGTTTTTTCACATTTTTTTAAGCTAACCACCTTTATAAGAAAATGTGCATCATGTAAGAACTTGTTTCCCGAACTTAAAAAGTAATGTCATCATCATATGGCATTTTTATAAAGTTCCATAGCACTTCATATTTCCACATTGTGATGTTTGGGCAATCTTCATATTATACTGGCACAGTATGTTTATGAAAATATGTTTATTTTCTTTAATATTTTAAAGAATTGCACATGCATATTTTAATACTGATTCTTAAGGAGAATGGACTTTTCTACATGTTTTTTTTAATGTATATTCTTGGTAACATTGGAGGCATTGCCATGAAAAGATGACAAGTTGTGTACAAAGAAAACTTGTTTTACAACTTACAGTGAAAAACATTAAATTATATATTTTAAGATTTTGTTGCAGAAGGTAGGAAGTTTAAATTACCTGATTTCCTCATATTATCTATACTGGCGTATAATAGAAAGTTCAAACCAAATAGGAAATTATTGTTGTAGTCCTACTGCATTTATCATGTCCCACTTGGCATGCTTATATTGGTATAATTTTGGGACAAAGAATAATATACATGACCATTATAGGACCTGAAAAAATGACAAAAATTTAAAGTCTTTGTAACACTTTCCTTTTCCTGAAGAATTTATTGTAGTACTAAGAGGCCCTACTGACTATCTTTTTCCTAATATTATTTGGCAATTTTCTTCAAAAAATACAGTATAACACTGTAGCTATGCTACTTTCCTTAAATAAGATTAAGCTTGACTTGATTTAAATTTCTTTAATTGATTTGGTTTAACAAGATTTACAAGATTCTTGCTGTACCAACAAAAACAATTTTCATTTAGAACCTAGATAAGCAATAATTCATGGTTCGGTAATTTGTGATGATCTATAATAAAATATATTATGGATTATATTATACTATCTTTAGAAAAATACATTTCTTTGCACATTTGCATAAAGATTTATGTACATATCATCTCTTGGTACTTACTGATATTCATTCAAGTTGTTATCTTACAAACTTGAGTCATAAAAGCAAATTTAATATAACCTAAAAAGAATTCTGATACAGCATGGACTATTAGTTTCAAAATGCTAGCTACTCCATTATTTCATTGTTAACTATGGTTAATATGCTGTGGTCTGATAGAAAAGCATTCCACATTCATTTCAAAACAACAGTTTTTCACTTTAAAAATTGAAAAATTCCAAATTTAATAATAAAACTAGCAGGCTTGAGTTTTGTTTCCTAGCAGTTATAATAATCACCAGCCTAATAGTGGATATCAAACAATGATCATTTTTGTTAGTGAGAAGTAATGAAGTGTGGAAAGAATTGTCTTCCTATATTGAATTGACTGCTCTAAGGTACATTTGCCCCTAAGAGCAATTAATAGTATGATTTGTACCATATTGTCAATTTTATCAGTGAATATTATTTTAAAATAACTTTGTTAAACATTCTATAAGAGTCATGCAAGAGTATTACATACCAGCTTTTAAATGGGCATGTATATTTGTACACACAAAGATCTCACATGCTATAATACAAATGTTCTTGAAGTACCAATTTAGGATTTCAGTTTCACAAGCTTTAATAGTCTTAAATAACTTTACAAAGGAACCATCAAAGTCCCCTTATCAAGGGTCTTGAGTTTTGCTTTCTGTAAAGAGAATTGGCCCAGCGAGCTAAAGATTGTCACCTCTGCTGACATAAACTCTTCCCATTGATGTATTACATCTAATGAAGTTTTAGGGCACAATTGAATCCACTTTGCATTTCCACTTTGTGTCAAGAGGCACACAGAGAAGTTATGCTTTGACCCCTCCCCGCAATCTGCAAAACCCCCTCAGGTGAACAGTTCAGTTGTGGGAATCCTGCATAAATGTAAGGAACCGACTGGATCGGGATTTTATTCTACATTTTCATGTATCTGTTAATCTTGCACTTCATATAATTGGATCTAAGGAGTCATCTGATAAAAGGGCTGCTCAGTTTCTATTGTAAATAATGTACATATGTTTATATTTTTAAAAAGATGTACATTTCATATATGATGGCCAAGTCTGAATATCATTTCTAATATAAATCACTGGTATTGCATTTTTAAGGTGTTATCTGTACACAATTTGTATTTAAGTTACAATTGGCTATAGAAAAACATTTTTGTTTTTGTTTTCAGCTCAGAGCTCTTTGAAGAGAACACTTTAATTTCAGAAAGATGAAAGATAAAATCTAACGTTATTGTAAACTTTTGAAAGTGCTGATGTTGGTTTATTAGTGGTTTTTGTTGTGCAAGGGCAACTAAGTTATTGAATTTGCCTGTTATGTATGTTTCAGAACAGTTCCCACTAGAAGAAAAGTCTAATTTCTGGAGGGATATAATGGGATTCAACTCTATAGATTTTTAAAAATCTAAAAGGAATAGGGTGGAATGAAGGCACTAATGGCATTATTTGTGGAATTACCAGAACCAAGCCTCAAGTCTGTTCTAAAATGTATAATTTTAGGAAATATTTCTGTTAAAAAGAAATTAAGCAATGACTTATTTTGCATAGATATGAAATACTGAGTTTTTAGAAAATGCAATTTTTTAAAATACAATTAAACACATCAAGAAACTGTGCTGTGATAGAAAATAAATTGTTGACAAAATGCTTGCTGTAGAAATTACTTATGAAATATTTGCACAGAATTTGTACACTTGCACAGATGGCATTTAACATATGTATCAGACATACACCTAAAGAAATGTTGTCACACATTATTTGTTACATTTTTGGACCATCACTGCAAAAAATCTGAAAAATTCGTTAAATCTGAATAATCGGTTCACATGACTTTATTTTTAAGTAAAACATTTGTCACTTAAAATGTGAAATATATAAAATAGAACAATATAAGGAAATTGTCTTGGAACATTTAGTTTTAAAATTGACACATTTAAAGCTATACTTGTTTTGTACAATATGTAAATCCCAAATATGTTTTATAATACCTTTAGGTTTTTTCAAGATTAATTTCCCTAGAAATCTTAATTATACTATAAAGTGCAGTCTCTCACCTGGATGAACAGTGCCCTTTCTTTTTGTATATATTGATTGAAACTTTTATTGTTATGTGAAACACTTATGTTGGTTTTGATGAATAATACTTGGAATCCTTTTATACAAACTAGAATGTAAGTGTAAGAATTACTGTCACTGCAATGTAGTAACAAACCTATTTTTAAATAAATAGAAAACTCGTTTTTCTAAGTTGTGTTGATTTCTATCATTAATGAAGTTCTTGCAGGAGGAATATAATGAAGATTTTGCAAAAACAATTGCACAGATAATGGAAGAATCAATTTTTTTAAAAAAAAATATCCATTGATGCTGCAGATCTCATCTACTTTAATGGAATGGAGCAACATCCAGAGGATATAAAACAATAAAGATGGTAACACTGATAGTCAACTACTTTTCAATATCTGTCATGTGGGTAAGTACACTTTTTAAGTGGGATTTGATCACTGTCACCATCTTGGTTTTATTTACCCGCTCCCCATGGAGCCCTTGAATGGGAGATTCCCACCAAACAGTGTGAGTGGAAATGCTGAGTATTAGGCTGAATAGAAAAATGAAATGAATTATCATTACTCTGCTTTATCTCAATTCTGCTGAGCATTCTCTGGAGGGACAAATGTGGATCCAATCTTGGTTATTTCTGATTTTTTTATATAAAAGGCTGTGTATTGGTAGACATATTGCTTTTCAAAGAAATGTTAATGCAATATTTCATTACTAAATAATCCAGCTGTAGGAAATTAGAAATAGAAAACTTCAAATACATTTGTTCCTATAGGTTTGCAGAATTTTATTATGCTGGATTTAGTAACACGGGAAAAAAACAAATGGGAAATTCCACCCAAACAAAAAAGGAGGAAAAATTATATTGCCAAGAAAATAATGTATGATTACAGAGTGGCATACTCACATTGTTTTCTTGGCAACAATATACCGTATTTGCCGGCGTATAAGACGACTGGGCGTATAAGACGAGCCCCCAACATTTCCACTCAAAATATAGTTTTTGTTATATACTCGCCGTATAAGACGACCCCCCCACTTGGAGGCATGCTTTTCAAGGCAAAAAAGTCGTCTCATACGCCGGCAAATACGGTAAGTTGTAACACTTGGGGTATTCTGGATATAATTCTTGATTGACACCCCCAACCCCTTTCCCCCAAACTTACAAAGCCACCAAAATGCTTTAGAGAGGCAGCTTCGCCTTTCTCAGGCTGGCACTCAATTCCTCTCCCTTTCTTTGTGACAGCCCCCGCGTGCGTGCCATCGGGACTCCAAGGGTGGGGGATGGACAGCTGCCAACTCACTCACTCACTCACTCTCTCTCTCTCTCTCTGTGTGTGTGTGTGTGTGTGTGTGTGTGTGTGTGGTGTGGAGGGTAATTCCGGCTATCTCTGGCCTCCGCTCGGTTTTAAGGTCGCTTGGCCGGTTCCCAAGTCGCAAGCGCGCGCTGGCCGGGAGACGCGGCGCCGGGTGGAAGCTCGGTGCAGGGGAGGCAGATCTTTCTCTCTTAAGCGGGGAGGGGAGGAGGGGACAAGAGGAGGGACGGGACGGGACAGGGGGCGGGAGGAGGGCGCTCGCCTTCTTCCACCGCCCACCGGACCCTTTTCTTACCAAGGGGACCCTGGAAAGCAGCTCGGGAGCTGGGTGGCCCTGCCCAGCGGGGTCCCATCAGGAACTTCCTGAGGACATCCCCCCCCCCCCGCCCCAAGCACAGCCCTCCCGGTCTTTCAAAGAGGGAGGGAGAAGCGGGAGGAGCAAATTGCCGCCCCCCCGCCCCGCTGCCCAGAAGGAGGGGCGCCACAGTCCACCCCCACCACCTTCTCCCCCCCCACTCCCTGGGCCATTACGCGGCTCGGGGCTGGCTGGGCGAAGCGGCCCCGCCAGAGACCCTCCCGCTCCACCCCCACCCCACCTCCAGATTGGCCTCCGCAAGCGCCCCGAGCCGGGCGGAGGGTGGGTGGGTGGGTG